AAGACTATAAAAATATTTTAGCAATTTAATTCATAAAACCAATTGCGCACATTTAAAATAAAGTTTGTTTACACTTTGACAGCAATAGACTGACATGCAAGGTGACATGTCAATGAAGTTTTCAGTTACTGTTGCCATTAAAAGAAATTAGTACCATTAGTTTTCCGCAACATGGCGAGGGTTTTTATGTTCCTGGTCAGGCTATATAAATGATATCTCACAAAGAAACCTAACAATTAAAGCAAAAAAGGTAAGCCTAAAGTAAGTACTTTAAGGTGAGCCTGTTAAGCTCTTTCAAGACTTTTTTTTTCTTTTTCTATTCTGCTACTTGGCAATCTGTTTCAGTGAAACAATAATCCGATTGCTTCTGAATTATTATTTATAGAGTGAAAACGTAAAAGGTTGATTTAAATCTAACCCTGGGTTACAACATTTGACTTTATTAACCGTCTAAATCTATTCAAAAAGCACCGGTTATATCTAGTTATAGTTATGGTTAAAATTATGGTGGTGCAACAGAAGCTCACTGTAAGAAATATTATGAATACAATCTTATTCTGAGATGTCCTAACCAAAATAACATGCATAGTGATTTATTCTATGTGTGTCCTACCAAGGAACCACTCTTGTGGCGGAGTTCTGGGCTGACACTGTGTAGGTTTGTCGATACGACACAAAGAAGAAGAAATAGATCCTAAAACCAGTCACTTTCTTAGATAGTGGATTTATAATGCTAATTTTTTTTGTGGTTTTATCATGCGATCAGTCCTTAAAATCTATAAGCAGATGGGTTGGATTCTTTTCGTCATTTAGAGCACTGCTCCCAGCGGAAACAGGCCTTTCTTTTTCTTAATTTCAGGTTTATTTTCAGACTAATTGTCGAAGATATCCCGCCGCTACTTATGCTAATTAGGATAGAAATTTATATTATATATGTATACTTACGGTCTGTAGTGTATGTAGAGGGTGCAGTGTATAAGTGCTAATGCTTTGAGTACAGAGTACATTCCCAGCATGCGAGATATTGTGAAGTCTCCTGAAATACATGTAAACATATTATTTTAAAGAAATAAAATTAATAAATAAATTAATTAATAAATCATTTTTTTTACTGATTCTGCCCATTTTGCTCTGAAAAAATTTCAATATAAGACTAATATATTTGTAAATTCATCTTGTATTAAAAGCCAGCTCTTTACAGACTTCAATGTGTAATAATACGGCATATTGTCGCCTATTAACCCAATAATTATTATCATTTATCACTTATAAAGTTTAGTTCACTACAAATTTCTAATTAGCATGTTTCTTGCCAATAAGAATAATTAATTACAGTTTATAACCTGTACTCACCGTCTAACTGCTCGCTGTCGCCGCTGTTGCTCAAAAACGACCTCCTTTCAATATAAGACCGGCCTGCGGTCCCTAAATCCATGAATGCCACGAACGCTATCCATCCCCGAAATGCATACAAAATTTTATTTTGCACAGCCATACTTAACTACAACTAACTTGGACAGGTTACTTCCAGCTCAGAACACCGCTATGACCTAAATAGAAGGCCTAATTATAGCTATAACACCATCTTCGAGTAAAGAAAGAACACACAACTTTTCACTAAGAAATGATAGAGTTATCACACTGTTTCTGACTTAAAACTAGATGGTTTTGTAAAACGAAGTTTATGCGTGAGCTCTAGCGTGCATCGCATTGCGGCATTTTACCTGCAATATATGTTTTTCGTGTAAAATTATAATTAGATGTAAATATAACCTCTCACGGCGCAGGCTCAGTATTATCAACATCAAAAATGTCGCTGTCAATTCCGTTATTTGAACGATTGGAATTGGGTAGTAATCGTTTGAGCAATATAATGACTGAGAATACCAACTTTTTTATTTTGAACAACGCCATCTAGTGCCGAATAGCGAGAACTATTTGAAAGCTGAAAGCACAGATTACTGTTAGGGGTCCAATCATGAAGCTAAAAAACTCATGTTTGGTTAGAAATTTAATGCGATTATTACCGAAACTAATTGCATTCACCAGAACATGGTTTTCAATGTTTTTTGTAACTTCAAAATGAATTAATTTTGTAATATTGGAATTTTCCACAGTTGACAGATTATCATACTGGATATTTGAGTAGGTATATGAAATGTTTGAGATGTAGAATGTTTTCCTCACTACTAAATTCAGTCGGTTACTAATAATGTTGCCATGCACAATAATGTTACGTTATCCCGTCGCGACTAATCAAAAAAGCACCTAAAAATATCGTCGCCATATTGGTATTGTCAAAAAGTTCGGGATATATCAGTGCCGATGAAAAAATGGTTTCACGTCTAATAGCGTTTGAATTATCGCTAATTGAGTGATCTAATACAATCTGCTGTGACTTTAGATGTTTCGTTCATCGACTCGGTTGTGTTATTTGGTTCGTGAATGATGTTTCCCATGGAGAAATGTGCGGGGCATACTGGCACGGGGAGTACTGAGGTGCAGGGTGGTGAACTATTCGCCGGCGGAGGCGAAGGGTTGGTGAAGGAAGGTGTTCTATCTGACGAGGTGGCATCCGCGGTGGCGGCGGTGTCTGACGAGATCGGCGACATCCTGAAGGATGAATTAGATGCAGACACGGAGCTCGCAGACCTTAGCGCGGAGCTAGGACTCCTCGCTGGCTTAGCGGACGGCGAACAGTCGCAGGATTTCCCCTCACTGTTCGAAATAGCCGTAAGTTAACATGGCGCACATTCTTCTGTCTCATTTACGCACTTTCCCACGGTCGTACATCGTAGTACTTGCTATTTCTGATGGTTTCGATCGGTGTCAATGAACTTTTCAATACTGCTAACTTTTAGGCACATGTCAACTGGAAATGTTGATTGATTCAAAGTTAATTTGGTCCCCTGTTCTTATTCTTCATGAGTAAGTAGTTCTCTGTCTCAAACATAAGTTTGTTTTGACAATACTCACAGTCACACCACACACTAGTAAAATCAGACCAAAACACATGTGTGCATGTAGAATATTACACCTTTCCAGTGGCTTTTGGTTAAATGTTAGGTTTTATTTTGTATGAAATTTCTAATTAGTATCATCATCTATGCAACATTAGTATAATAGTAGGTACCTACTTATGTGCACATCCAGATTCGGACTAGTTTTCAAACAGAAATACTGTCATAAACATTAGTTCAAAAGTTACAGATTCTACTATGTAACCTTTTTCTCACTAGTTTTACAATTTACCCTCTATCTCACTGCATTAACTTCTATTTATATATGTGTCGATAGAAATTTAAAGATTTATTTCAAACATCATTTAGTTAAAAGTTAAAGTTTGTCACACACACAGTTGTTATTATTTGTATGAGTGATTGTTTTTACTACTTTTTAGATTACCTATTAGAAAAAACTTCACAAGTGTCAGTAAAGATGTGATATTAAGAGGATTTAAGACAAGATTAATGGTTAAATAAATGTAATAAATAAATAATCATATTGAAACTCTGGAAAAAGTAATTAGTTATAAATTTACCAACTTTTTAATAATCTTATTTGAATTTTGAAAATATGTCAAACCAATTTAAATATCTGTTAATCAACTCAGTCGATTACATTTGTTTTAATTTTACATTATCATCTGATAATGTTTCCTATTTTCCACCATAAATGGATAACTTGAATGAATTCACAACATAATTTACTTTGTTCCTGCATCTAAACTTGTTCAGAAACATTTTGGACTCCAAACTGATACCTACTTAACATTTATAAACGTCGCTAATTATAAAGAGGCAAGTGAGTTTGTGGGTTTATAAATCTCTGGAATTACTGAAAAGATTTCGAATATTCTTTCATCATAGCTGCATTATTACTCAGCTCACACCACCTCTCTCGCAGAAAGGTTACAGCCTATATCAGGCTGTAACCTTTCTGCGAGAGAGGAATTAAATTAGGAAAGTCGAGTCTTAAAGTGACTTGGCCCACTTTTAGCTTGGTCCACAGGCCAAGTCGCTGGTTTGAATTTTTAAATAGTTTTTCTTCCAGTGACTGGGCCCGTCTCTAAGATTTTCAAGTAGATTTCTGTTGATTTTGTATTTATTTGGTAACTATTAAATATTCAAGCAAATGACTTGGCCCATGAACCAAGCTAAAAGTAGGCCAAGTCACTGGAAGACTCGAAAGTCATGGGCAAAAGCTAGTAAATTATGTAATTGATAAGATTGTATAATTTGTGATAATATTATTATCATGCAGATAATCTATTTTTGATGAATAGACAAAAAATCAAAACAAATAGTAAATGAATGATACAAACTAACATTGTAAATTAATTAGTAGACCTAATGAATATTTCCAAAAGTAATTAAAGAAATACTCTGACTGGATACCTGCCAGAGTTTGAATGGAAATATGCCAGGTCTGGCAGCTTATAATCTGTCTTCTTTACTATTAGTTTGTTGTTAAAATGACAACTTGTATAAAGTCAAATTTAAGGTCATACCAGACTTATCAACTTGGAAAGGAATCAACACAGTATCGCCTTTCGCGCGCTGTCAACCGCGAGGCGGGGCCTTTACGTTACGGTGCGGATAAGTGTGCGTTGCAGTATGGAGTTTCATACAAAGAATACTGACCGCCTCGAGTTGATACGGTTACAATCCCTTTGCGGGTTGATAAATGTGCTACGTCCTTTAAGTGGACAGTTGGCGGTGTAGAATAGGACCCCTCCTTCTCTTCCCGTGGATGTTTTAAAGGCGACAATATGAGAACATAAAGTCTCCCCATCTTAGCCAAAAAATGTTTTTGAAAAAATCCTGAACAATTGAAACTAAAATGTGAAAGCTAAACGAAAGATATTCTTTTGAATGGTTGATCACTGTTTTAACTTATAATTATCTACTTATTTCTGAGTACAGGCTATAAAATACAAGTAATTTAATAAAAATAACTGCAATTTGTGTCTAGAAATGCAAGTGTCAAGTAAATCACTAATTAATTGACTGACACAGTTGAGTATAATAATAGTTTATGGCATTTTAATGTCGTAATAAAGAATATTTAACAATTTATATTGATGTAAATATTTTGCACTTAATTTGATAAAGTAAAAACATAAGTATGCATGCAATTTTGTAATGTTTTTGTACTGAAAAAACAAATGTAGGTATTTTATCATGAAAAATTCTATTGAGTAGTGCCTCATTTTCTTACAAAAACTAGCTGTCAAATCGACACCGCCACCGCGATACGAATTTGTGATTTTCGTTCGTCGTCTAGTCGCGTTGTAGTTGAAAATATTTAGCGCAATCGGGGCCTTAATTGTGTTCAAAACACTTCTCCTCTCTGTTCCGCTCTGCTCTGCCTTGGTGGAAACCAGGCCTTAGTCCTTACCCATGATACCCATCGCATTTCAAGTCCAAAAGTCTTACAAATACCCATGCGATATTGCAATGGTCATCCTTGTATAAACAGGGTTCGACATGTTATCAAAACATCGAATCTACATTGGAAATTGACATCAAGTATCTACCTACTACTTATTCATGCATGCAGTTTAAAATTGATTAGTTTTTGAGGGTGAAGTCGCCGTTATGTATATGCTTAGGATAGATGATGGATACTCTTCTTGTAATGAAGTATGCTCGTGGCTTCTTCTGTCGCACTTTACGCAATCAAAATAAATTGATTTCTCATTGAAAGCATAAATATTTTTTTCAGTTTTACTATGGCCTATGTTCTTTAAATGCCATTTAGCTTCAAGTCCCTTGAAATAGATTCAAATCAAATAGTTTATTCAGTAGGCCCTTTCCTGGACGTTTATACACGTAACAAATATAGCTTGCCCTACCGCCACTTTGGGACAACATAATATGGGCTGGTGCTGAGAAGAAGTGGCGGAAGAAACTCAATCACCTTTGTCAGCCTCTTTAAATCTATCGATTCAGCTAACTAGGACTAGGCAGTAGAAAAACGTAGCAGATAGTTTATTTTGCATTTGTATTAGGTATTAAAACAAGAATCTGGAGAGTGGAGTCTTTACAAATCGAGCTAATTGTCCACCTCGCTGGAATGCGACTCTCCCTCGCACTTAACAGCGCATCTCACCGCGCTCGCTCGGCCCGTACCCGAGCGTCGGTGTGACGTCACGGTAGCCAGGTACGCAGTTAACTCGACCTGGTTGTGTGTAGTTATTTTCTCATATTAGGGATACAAAAATCACTCATTCTCTATAGGTTACATTGACGTTACCCACTTACGTTCCTCACCACCATCATCATCATCATCATCTCAGCCACAGGACGTCCACTGCTGAACATAGGCCTCCCACAATGCTTTCCATGTTACCCGGTTGGTAGCGGCCTGCGTCCAGCGCTTTCCTGCTACCTTTATAATGTCGTCGGTCCACCTGGGTGGACGTCCCACGCTGCTTTTTCCTGTACGCGGCCTCCACTCCAGAACCTTTCGGCCGTCAGTTCTGCGTACTATGTGCCCTGCCCATGTTCCTCACACTCCTATTTAAATCATATTTGAACTTCCAGATGGGTCACCGAGGCTCGGGGTCCGGTTCGTCGTCTTCTTCTTGGTCGGGGGGCCGGGGGGGCCGCCGCCCCGCGCGCCCCCAGCGGGTCACGAGACGACGCCCCATCGCTAAAGGGAAGGATGTGAGTATCTTCTTATTCATATCCCGAAAATTTCCCCTGAGGATTCAAGAGGCGCCCTACAGCTAAGGGGAGAATGTGAGTCTTATTTTCTTTTTTTAATCCTTCATCATCATCATCATTTCAGCCATAGGACGTCCACTGCTGAACATAGGCCTCCCCCAATGCTTTCCATGTTGATCGATTAGTAGCGGCCTGCGACCAGCGCTTCCCTGCTACCTTTACGATGTCGTCGGTCCACCTTGTAGGTGGACGTCCCACGCTGCGTTTTCCGGTACGCGGCCTCCATTCCAGAACCTTTCTGCCCCATCGGCCGTCAGCTCTGCCTACTATGTGCCCTGCCCATTGCTAATCCGTCGGACTATGTCAGCGACTTTGGTTCGTTTACGGATCTCCTCATTTCTGATTCGATCTCGCAAAGAAACACCAAGCATAGCCCTCTCCATAGCACGCTGTGCAACTTTGAGCTTCTGTATAAGACCTATAGTGAGAGGCCACGTTTCCGAGCCATAAGTTATCACTGGTAACACACATTTTAATCCTTCACTGCTGACCAAAAGCCTCCCTTAAGGATCCAGGAGACGCCCCATTGCCAAGGGGAAGGATGTAACCGTACACACTTTTTTTTAACCTAAAGATGTCCACTGATAGACATAGGCCTCCTCCAAGGATTTCTACAACGATCGGTCCAGTCTAGATTCTTCCCGCGACATTCGATTGTCGATCCATCAAGAGGCATTATGTCTTCCGGCCTCTGGGCCACTCTAGAACTTTTCTGCCCCATCGGCCATTAGTTCTACGAGCTATGTTCAGTGGCGGCGTAGCATGAGTTGGCACCCGGGGCGATAACCCCCCCCCGTCATAAGTCCTAAGGCACCAAAGTATCATGACATAAACCGTAGACTTTTGCCATGCAGAGAGAGTACTAATCTGCGCGACTTGTGTCACCCCCTGATGCTTGGCACCCGGGGCGGACCGCCGCTAAGCCGCTACTGGCTATGTTACTTAAGTTTTCAATTCGGCTGCGATAATTAACCCTAAGCTCATCTTCTTATGATTGTGCCCAGATGTGCCGGCGCCGCGCCGCCGCCGCCCGCCGCGCGATATCGATGCGCGTGCGCCGCGCCGACGCGTCCGACGCCTCCGATGCGTCCGACGTCGGCGCGGACTCCGATTCCGACGACCAGTGGACGGAGCTTGACGACCAATGTAAGTGGTGGATCTAAAATCGTACAAAATCCTTTTGATTGTCGATCGGAACGTGGATGATGATGATTTTAACATAAACTACTCGTTGCTTATAGGTGTACCAGAATCTCATGGCAAACAAAAATATTGGAAAAGTGTGTTTTTCATATGGCCATTGTCTATGGCTTTATTGTCACATGTCAAAGTAAATCAAGAGATCTGTCAGCCGCTGCAGAAATTTTGTAATCTCTTCATGCCTATTTGTTATTTTTGTGAAAAAGACGAAAAAACTCAAGCAAGTCATATTGTTTTCAAAGTGTATTGTAAAATGAGGCATAATTCAAAGTCAATCTTTGATTTTAATTCGCGTCGTTGAGTTGACAGTAAGTTGGAGTGAAATTTTTTGATACTTGCCTACATTTAGATTATTACCTAAGTTTATTTTTATATTGTTCTTACCTAATAGCTGCTTTATCGGGGTTTTCAGGTGTATTTTATGCATTGGTGCAGAGGAATGGTGAAAATGTTATGACCATGTAAAGAAAATTGAAAAAGATTTCATCAAGCAAGTTTGAGTAATTGAAATGCTGAAAAGGCGATTTATATTATATCAATACCTCTTTAACTTGATCATCTATTTTGAAGAACAAGAAATGCAAGTGGAGTTCTTAGAATCGTTTTCTAGTTCTGAATGAAGTGATAAGTTATAAGTATGATACTTAATAAAATTATTTACAGTAATATACGGTTTACTTATTTTTCAAGACATGTTCCTATGTTAAAAATCCGATGTATAACAACATTCTTCATACACATACCTAAAATGTATAGGTAGGCATTCGTACTTCATGTTCATTATAGTCATAAATAAAAATTAAACAGTATCAAGATCGTTTAATCCAATTTCCCCAGTATTGCACTCAACAAAGTTTATTTTCCCCATTTGCCATGAGATTCTGGTACGCCTATAGTCACAAGTAGGGATGTTATGGATAATTATGTAGTTTCGGTTATGGATACGGTTACGGATATAGGAATAATATTATACCGGTTTCGGTTACGGCTACGGATATTTTATTATTTCGGATATCCGAAAGTTTCGGTTACGGTTACGGATATCCATAACATCCCTGGTCACAAGTATCAACGAAATCATGACACTGAAAAGGCATTGACTCTTAAATGCTGTTTATTTTATTTGCTAAATAGTGTTAATCAGTAGCTACTCAGAACTCGTACTCGGACTAGAGTCCGAGTTAGAACTCGGAGATCGTGGAAGAGGCCCTAAGTGTGTGTCTATAGTCTACACACACACACGCACGCACGCACGCACGCACGCACTCACTCACTCACTCACTCACTCACTCACACACACACACACACACACACACACACACACACACACACACACACACACACACACACACACACACACACACACACACACACAGGCAAACACGGTAACAGTGATGCATAGTTTTTATGTCAGCTAGCACCATTACGAATTGATCCAACTGTCACCTTCAGAGAGCTGGGCAAGGTTGAAAAACAGCGCAGCCCGGGACTTGCTCTCGAGGCAACTTGAGCTGAACCTCATGGCCTTTTGTTTCCTGTATTTAATTTACTCTAGTTTTAATTTTAATTGTAACTTTTAAATTGGGAAACAATATTTTTTTTTTTTTTATATTTATTTATTTATGATTCTGATGATAATGATTATTTTATTACTTCCTCTCCACAGCGGGCTCAACGGACAGCTCATCCCTCAAAGACGCCATGAAGGATGCAATCAGCATGGACTGCTTCGAGGGAACCGCCTGCCCGCCGGCCATGGGCCAGTTCCTGCTGCCACTCCTGGGAGCAGACCCCGCGACCCCGCGCGCAGACTTCCTGGTGCGCCACGAGGACATTCTGCAGGTACGAGACAACCCACCAACACCCATGGCCATACCAACCTCGCGGTTATACTGGCCGAATCTTGAGAGATGCACGCGGAACTGCGTCTGCCGTGGCAGATTGCACTTCACCGCGCGCAATGCTTGACTCCCTACAAGTTTTTTGGTCTATTCCTTGTCCCTATGAGCTACTCTCCCCGTTCTGGGGCTGCTACTAGCTCAAAAACGGGACAGTACGGGGCCGTCAGCTCCTAGGCCGGGATATCTTCGGTACGAGATCGAATCAGAAATGAGGAGATCCGTAAACGAACTAAAGTTGCTGACATAGCCCGACGGATTAGCAAGCTAAAGGGGCAATGGGCAGGGCACATAGTACGTAGAACTGACGGCCGATGGGGTAGCAAGGTTCTGGAGTGGAGGCCGCGTACCGGAAAACGCAGACAAGGTGGACCGATGACATCATAAAGGTAGCTGGAAGGCGCTGGACGCAGGCCGCTACCAACCGAACAACATGGAAAGCATTGGGGGAGGCCTATGTTCAGCAGTGGACGTCCTATGGCTGAGATGATGATGATGAGCTCCTAGGCGCAGACCCCGCGACACCGGGCGCAGACTTCCTGGTGCGCCACGAGGACATCCTGCAGGTACGGGACAGTACGGGGCCGCCAGACATCCTGCAGGTATGGGACAAGGACAGGACAGGACAAGGCTGGCTGACGACCTCATAAGGTAGTAGGAAGGCGCTGGAAGCAGGCCGCTACCAACCGGGCGAACTGGAAATCGGGGGAGGCCTATGTTCAGCAGTGGACGTCCTGTGGCTGAAATGATGACGATAGGACATGTTCCTGCAACTCCTAATCTCGCCTCTCTTTCCTTCCACTGCATGCAGCTCCTTTATAGGTAGGATCTGTCACTGGGAAATTAGAGAGCGTAAAAAAAGTAATGGAAAATTAGAGAGCGTATTTCAGTAGAGACTACATACTTCAAGTGAAGCCCCTCGTTCCCACCGCTGCAACTCCTGTGTAGCCAGGATCTACAGCGAGGAACCGCCAACCAGCGAAGGCTAGATTTGTCTCGGGAGAAAGTTAAACTGTCATTGGACCCGCAACGAAATTAATTAGAAGAACATAGGAGGAGCTCGAAGTTGGCCTAAGCGCAGACCACCGACTTTTAGTTGGCCGATAGTTGGGCCCGATTCTAATTTGCATAAAGAATCGGCCGATACCAAATCGGTGTAATGTGCGCACTTCTATACATGTCCATACTGATTAACAGCCCGACCTAACTATCGGCCAACTAAAAGTTGGTGGTCTGCGCCTAGGCTTAAGGTTCGACTTCCCTCCAGTACAAAGAGGATGACAGGTTATAAAACAAAGTTGACTATACACAATACACATGTTGACTATATGATTGTCTTGCAGCTGCTGGCATCAGCAGAGGAGAGCGTTCGTGACGAAGCGCCGAGGGAGGACGACGCGCCAGCGGAGCCCCAGCCTGACGTGTGAGTTGATATGAGTCGGATTGTATAATCCGCCGTATTACATTACGGCTAGCCGTGTCGAAGAACATAAAATATGGCGCCGAATACAATCCGCAGGATTTTCATTCAGCCGCATTCAATCCGGCTAATCGTTGAACCGTCGCATTTAAAAACAGCCAATGGCTAGCCGTAGTGTAGGTAATACGGCAGATTATACAATCAATTTACAACAAATCTTCGACACAAATTAAATAATGAGAACTATCGTTTTAGAGCTGTCCAGTTGGCATCACTGTATCTTAGAGTAAGGTTCTGTCATTTGCCAGTGGTACCAACTACCAATTCTGTTAATTATTAACGATAGCCCGATAGATACTACTAAAACTCATGAAATTCTTGATCGCTTAGAAAGATTTTTTATATTTTTGTTGTGTTTGTAACTGAAAATTTTCAAACGCCCGACAACAACCGTTGTCGGGGTAGCTAATTATTTTTCTTAAAATGCTCAGCTCGGTGTCTTCTACCTTCTAAAGAACATTTTCAAATAAAGATTCCCGTTAATTTTTTTTTTAGAATTTTCAATTATTAATTTACATAAAGGAATTACAAAAGAAAACTTATAATAAAACATTTCCACTTGTGGCGACGCCACTACAAAACTAGTGACCAACAGATGGCGCTGTTACTACTTCACTATGGCACACTCCGCCGCTCATACAAACCTACATCGCGGTGACGGAGTTTTATATCCTGCCAAGTATATATATAGGCAAACCAAGATGGTGAAAATTGGACCTTGGTCCCCGAGCATAACACCCGCTCGGAAGGAAGCACTAACATCTAGCTTCCTTATTGTGGACGAACATCATATCCCACATTGGTGACCCCGACGTGATTGGAACGTGACCTTCCATCAGCACCATCTTCGGCATCAGCCTCCGCCATCCTCACCATCTCCGCCACTCCGTCATCAGCTCCAGTCTTCAACAAGCCAGCATCCAGCCTTCAGGGACCATCGCAGATCGCAACCGACCTTCCTGGTTCCTCGGCAGCAAGCAACCGTCACTTCACTGGTCACGGGTACAGCTCTGGCCCAGCTCCACGCCCGACCATCGAAGACGCCTCCGCTCACTATCCCGACTCACCGTGGATAGAGCACCGCAACCTGCTCGTCTCGACTCACCGCAGACTTGAGCACACTGGCACTTGTAAGCTCATCATGCACAGACTGCTGAGCACATCCTGACGTCATCCACCTCCGGTTCTTCCGGGGGGAGTGGTGTGGCGACGCCACTACAAAACTAGTGACCAACAGATGGCGCTGTTACTACTTCACTATGGCACACTCCGCCGCTCATACAAACCTACATCGCGGTGACGGAGTTTTATATCCTGCCAAGTATATATAGGCAAACCAAGATGGTGAAAATTGGACCTTGGTCCCCGAGCATAACACCCGCTCGGAAGGAAGCACTAACATCTAGCTTCCTTATTGTGGACGAACATCATATCCCACACACTCTTTATTTTTAAATTTTCCAAAGGTGCAAAAAGGTGGCAGTTCTTTTTGCAACGCAATGTTATTTCCATGAATTGTAACATATTTCTCCCGCAGGCCGGAGGAAGAGGTCCCGTTCACTCCCGAGGATGAGCCTCCCATCACTCCTGAAGAGGAGGCGGCACTCTTGCATCTTGTGTGCGGTACGTAACTTACACATAAGCATGTAAGCACTTACAGGGCAGATAATGTTACCATCCTAGACAGCACTTAACACCAGGTGCGATTGTGGTCAAATACCTGCCTTGTTATGCATGAATAAAAAACACTGAATATTCATCTTGAAGATGGTTTGACGCAGACCGTCCGACTCGCATTTCGTTACGAATTAAAAAAAATACTACGTTTATTATTATTTTTATTTATTGAAGTTTCTGATGACTAATGTAAGTATATCGATCTCAAGCGTTTTTTTTGTCATCAGAAGACTCACCAGAGACGGAAGAGGACAAACTCGTACCGGTCTCGGATTGGCTGCTGGGCGTCTACCACTCGTGGTGCGAGACCAGCGCGTTAATGTACACCCTCGTCGGCAGTAACATGTGAGTTGTAATTTGTTAAAGCCTGGCCCGTGAGCACGTAGAATCCCGTCCAATGACCCCAAGCTACCCATCCTTATCGCTCGCGCGTAATTATATTGCTGTCGCGACTGTGCGACGGGCGCCCGCAGTGAGTGTGCGAGCGCGACAGCAACATAATTACGCGCGATCGATAAGGATAGGTAGCTTGGGGTCATTGGACAAAATTCTACGTGCTCCCGGATTAGACTATACCAACAATAAACGAGGTTTAAAAACTTATAAAACTCATTTATTTTTGCAAATAGGCTTTTAAAAAGCACTTTTACACGTCCCAATATTAACCCTACCACTGCTTCGGGACAATAAATGGGCCAGAGCCCCGATTACGGTAATATTTAACGTCTCCAATCCAGACACGCTTCTCGATTCTGCGATACGATTGGTCGTTCAACAGCGTACGTCAGCTGTTTTGACCAATCGTATTGCAGAATCAGAAACGCGTCTGGATTGTAGACGTTAATAAAAGTTACCGTAATCGGGGCTCAGTGCTGAGAAGAAGCAGCGCAAGAAACTCAGTTACTATTGTCAGCCTCCTTTTCAAGGGTTTACAGTCTTTAAAATTTACAAATTATAGTCATAAGTCATTGATGCGAGCTAGGTAGTTAAATATTCCAAACATTTTTATCTTTTATATAATCATCAACTTTATAGTAGAGTAGCCCTTTTGATATGTGCTTTAAATTTATGAATTGTCTTTGACACCTCACGCGTGTCATAAGTGTGCCGTACAAAATCTATGAAAGAATCGCATTTCCAAGTATGTCGTGAGCGTTGACGTAATAGGAGGTCTATCGGCTTTGCATTCACCAGGATGGTGCCACTTTAAAGTTCTGTCACAGTGGCAGATCGCCAGTAGCGGTGCCAACTGTTAGTAAAAAAAAATAACTTTCATTGACTGGTGGTATCCTCTATCTTAAAAAAATCAGCATCAAAATCCGTTGCGTAGTTTTAAAGATTTAAGCATACATAGGTACAAACAGGGTAAAGCGACTTTGTTTTATACTATGAGTAGTGATTGTTGTTGTTGCTTAAGTTTTTTTTTTGTTAGTAGCTATCATTTTGTAGTTACGGAAGAGTGGCTCCTTCTGACACAGGTGCAAATGCACTTAAAAGAATGAGTCAACCTTTGTTTTTAGTTATAAAAAACTTTGGTACTGAAATAAAGTTATTTATTTATTATTTCTTTATTTATTTATTTTATGAATGGTAACTTTTTGTTTCCAGGAGCGTAGAGATGCTGACCTCCGAATGGATGTACCGGGCTCGCTTCGGGTGCCACTGTCGTGCTTGCGTGTGCCTCGCAATCGGTGCGCGCCCGCTGCACGCATTCGTGCGCCGCGTGCTGCGCGCGTTGCACGCTGATGGTACGTGACACACTACGCGGGTCTTGAGCGTGACACATTGGACGTGTCATGAGCGTGATTCACTAGTCTTGCCATGAGTGTGACCCACTGGTGTGTCATAATCGTGACTTACCAGGCGGGTTAACTCCGTAACGCTCTACGCGTGTCGTAAGCGAGACGCCCCTCTCGTGTCAAGACAAGGGCACGACTTCCCTCGCGTGTCAAGAGCGTGGCACCCCTAGTGTATCATGAGCGAGGCACCCCTAGTGTATCATAAGTGTGACACCCTTCGCGTGTCATGTGCGTGACACCCCTCGCTTGTCATGAGCTTGTCATGGACCTAACACACCACGCGGGTCATAAGCGTGACATACGGCGTTTTATGTGCGTAACGCACTACGCGTGTCATGAGCGTGACACCATACTTGTATCAAGAACATGACGCCCCACCCCATGGGTGTCATAAGTTTGACACCTCACGTGTGTCAAGAGCATGACTCACCACACGTGTCATGAACCCGACTGAAACATTTATGGTGTTTATTCCAGGGTCAGCAGAGTGCGCACGCGCCGCGGCGTGCATGGTGCGTGCTTTAGGCGCGTGCGGCGCGCGTCGGTGGGACCTACCTCGCCTACGACGCCTGCCCGCCGCCGCTGCCGCCGCTGGTATGTAGTAACAACCACTGGACGTCCATTGTTGGACTTAGGCCTCTCCCAATGAGGGCTATCGTTTTTATACTTAACAGTTGGCACCCCTGGCGATTGACAGGACCTTACTCTACAGTGGCGCCATCTTGATGAGTGCAAATGCGATAGTCCTCCTACCACTTTCGCGCTCACCAGTTGGCGCCACTGTCTTCGCTACTAGCAAGTGACAGGACCTTACTCTACAGTGGCGCCATCTTGATGAGTGCAAATGCGATAGTCCTCCTACCACTTTCGCGCTCACCAGTTGGCGCCACTGTCTTCGCTACTAGCAAGTGACAGGACCTTACTCTACAGTGGCGCCATCTTGATGAGTGCAAATGCGATAGTCCTCCTACCACTTTCGCGCTCACCAGTTGGCGCCACTGTCTTCGCTACTAGCAAGTGACAGGACCTTACTCTACAGTGGCGCCATCTTGATGAGTGCAAATGCGATAGTCCTCCTACCACTTTCGCGCTCACCAGTTGGCGCCACTGTCTTCGCTACTAGCAAGTGACAGGACCTTACTCTACAGTGGCGCCATCTTGATGAGTGCAAATGCGATAGTCCTCCTACCACTTTCGCGCTCACCAGTTGGCGCCACTGTCTTCGCTACTAGCAAGTGACAGGACCTTACTCTACAGTGGCGCCATCTTGATGAGTGCAAATGCGATAGTCCTCCTACCACTTTCGCGCTCACCAGTTGGCGCCACTGTCTTCGCTACTAGCAAGTGACAGGACCTTACTCTACAGTGGCGCCAACTGGTGAACGCTAAAACGATAGCCCTCATTATTTTCAGACTAAAGTCTGGTCTGTGAGCACGTAGAATTTCGTCCAACAACCCCAAGCTACCCATCCTTATCACAGCTCGCACACTCACTGCGGGCGCCCGTCACACAGTCGTGACAGCAATATAATTAAGCCCGAGCGATAAGGATGGGTAGCTTAGGGTCATTGGACGAAATTCTACGTGCTCGGCGACCAGACTTTAGCTGTTCGACTTCGTACGCGTACGCGTTTTTGTAACATTTTTCTTTACTGCTCCGCCCCTATTGGCTGTAGGGTGATTTTATATATTGTGGAAACGATAAGTGATCTCACTCGATTATTTCTAAACTATACAAGATAACTCTTCTACAGCTAGATCGACCAGTGGCGGTCAAGTTTCTTCCAGGGGAAAGTTAGTTATTCACTGAAAAAATAAAGCTACATACAATACATATTCGTTTTATGATTCGTTCCGGGACTCAAAATTGTATTTTAAAGTGTTAGAATGCCGTTTTATGATCCAAATTCAAATACATAGTTTATTCAGTACATAGGCCCTTTCAAGGGCACTTATACACGTCCCAAATATAGCTTGCCCTACCACCACTTCGGGACAAGATATGGGCGGGTGCTAATGCCAGTTTTCACCATCAATCCCTAATTTTTAATTGACCCTTAACAGGTATTTAATTTTCAAAGGGGTCACATAAAAATTAGGGATTTATGGTGAAAACGGGCATCAGTCACCTTTGTCAGCGTCTTTTTCAATAAAATACAGCAATTTCTAAACTCACATGATTCGTTCCGTGAATCAAAATGTACTGTAAAGGGTTAATTTATCGTTTCGCGATAGTATTTAACCCTTAATTGTTTCTCCCTACAGCCGAGTCGATAGTCCACGACGAGCTGGTCCGGCTGTCGCAGCAGAGTGACATCGCGGAGGAAATCGTGACTAAAATCTGCCTGTGCCGGGGGTTCGACAAGCCGCTTGAAAAGGAGTGAGTACATACTTACAACCCACACACACTAAGGGCTATATTTCACCGGGACACCATGGCGGCGCAACCAGTCGCCGCTACCTACAAAATGTATACAGCATTGCGCAACCAAACGGATACCAGGTGAGTATAACTCTCTATAGAGCTGTATACATTTTGTTGGTAGCCGGCGACTGGTTGCGCCGCCATTGTGTCCCGGTGAAATATAACCCTAAGGCTAAGAACTCACGGCGCGATTTTCACCCGCGCCCGCGGCGGTTGCGGGTCCGCAGCTTCTGTACAATGCAGATACTTATGTAAAAACTAATGCACAACTCACGACGCGGTTTTCGCCCGCAGCGAGCGACCATTTTGTACCAGTGACTTAGCACGAATCTTAGAATAACCGCGCAAATAACCGCGTCGTGAGTTTTGAAATAAAACTGCAATTCCACAACTGCCGCAGGCGCTTGTTAAAATCGCGCCGTGAGTTCTTAGCCTAACGGGGGGTGTGAGGGAGAATCGAATGTGGTTATGCAATAAACGATTGAGTATTGAATTCCAGTGAGGTGCGCACTTAAGAGCCATTTCACAAANTATCGGCCTAAATCACATACATTATCTCCTATTTTAAAGTAAGTATTGGTTGAAGCAATTGGGTAATAAAGACCAGAAACAACAATGGTTTCACATCAACTAATTAGACAGGACACAGAGAAAAGTTTGTTTTCTACAATTTCCTTATTGGGAATCAAACTCTGGACCAGAGATGATGATGTCAAGCTATATTGATTGCTTTTTGGCTACAGAAGGATAATATAAAAGTAAAGTCATAAAATGCATTTGTTTTCAACAAAGAGGCTTTTAAAAAGCCCTTTAACACGTCCTAGTTATATCAAATATTTGAAACAATTGAAATGTGATGTCACAAAACTTAGGACCCCTCCCACCCCTTGTCACACCATGTCACACTTTGTCAACCCCCTCCCCCCCTCTTTACGTGTGACGAACTTTGTGGATGACCCCTAAGGGTGCTAGCATAATGGATATACTTTTTTAAAATTTATTTATTTATTAAATTAAATACATGGTACCTACATATTATACATAGTTACACCCAGATCCGTCAAAGAAATTAAAATTCATCATTTCAATTTCTGCTCGGCCGGCCGACTCGAAACAGCCTCTCGGCATAGTATCAAATGCATTTGGTCGCCGTACAAATCACCGCTTCACGACACGAACGCACGTAAACGTCACGGCGGGAAACATTACACAGGTCCTACCTTGACGGGCGCTCGCGNTCACCAGGCTATTGTTTGTGCGCATACTCTGGAGTATTCCACATACAACTGGTCGTCGGAGAAGCATAGATTTCCATTAAGTCTACTCCCGCTACCATATAGAACTCCGCTAAAACTCGTGAGGGCGCCAACACTTACTTTTGTATCGAAAATTAGTATGAGCAGCTGCGCACGCGGTTGCCCGTTGCAGGCTCTATGCAACCACACTATTTTAAACCGTGGTCCATAAGCATGAGATGGGAAACTGCACTCTCTTGAATTCTCTTGAATTTGATGGTGTTAGGGGAATCCTAGGAATGAATACAGACTTTCCAATGGAATCTCCTCATCAATATTGCGAAATTGCGAGTTGCAATGCAATGTTACGTTTTCACTTGTTATTTTATTGTTATCTGACCTTGATTTTTCAAACACGTGTCAAAATAAAATAAAAAAATTAAATCAAAAGTACTAAGGAATATTTCATTGATATCAACTTAGAAACAAGCACAGATCACAGAAACTAAAGGGAAATGTGACAAGGGACAAATTGGAACATATTTCTTGTGAAAGCAATGATGACAGTAGCGACGTCATTATGTAAACAGTTTATGTTGCTTGCATAGTACTAAAGATTATTCGAACGTTGAATACTGATACCGCAGTGGATAATGAGCACATAATTTGATTTCTTTGTGTGTGTGAATTTCTAATACGACACTGAGTTTCGAACTCAGCGCATTACTTAGCATCTCTCTATATTTCTATGGAACCAAGTTATCTCCAAAATAACATTCCACACCTTTTTAACCTAGTCAGGTAATCTATATATATAAAAGAAAGTCGTGTTAGTTACTCCACTTATAACTCAAGAACGGCTGAACCGATTTAGCTGAAAATTGTCAGGGAGGTAGCTTAGAGCCAGGAGAAGGACATAGGATACTTTTTAACCCGTTCGAAAAAAAAAATCTGCTTATTTATTGCCATTAAGGCGGAACAAAGTTCGCCGGGTTAGCTAGTATTTTTTATAAAATACGAAACACGTCATCTATCAATAGGATAATGTATATTTTAGAAGTTAATAAATTATGCATAAAATATAAACACTTAAGAAATTTAGTTAAATCGTAGAATTTCGGAAAAACAAGTACTAAAATCGTACTGAAAAAAAAAGTATTAATAATATGTTACCTATTCTATGCAATAAATGTTTGAGTTTGAGTTTGAGTTTGTATCTAATTTATTTATTAAACGTCGAATTTTATCAAAGATTTTGGACTAAAGTTTTTGAAAATATTATATAGCCTACATAGAAAAAAAATAGGATTCTAAATCGTGAAAGAATTTTTTTTCGGAGCCTATTGCCTCCAAACAAACAAACAAACAATTAAATCTTTCCTCTTTTATTAGTATAGATTTAACAACAAAGCTTCCCTCTCGAAACAAAACGCTTCTTTTTCTTCTTCACGAAACAAAACTCAAAGCGGATAAATAAATAAACAAATCTTTGGACAATTTCACAGCGCCATCTAGTCCAAAAGTAGGCAACCAATATGCTTGTGTTAAGGGGCCATTCATAAAGTACGTCACACGAATTTCATGATTTTTTTACCCCCCCTCCGTCCTTGTCACAGGTGGTCACATTTCTGAGAACCCCCCCCCCTCCCTAGTGTGACGTCACATGTTTTGCAATTTCACATCGAAAAATTATTAAATTAACAGCAGTTCCGAAATTAGTTTTATTTTAATTTAAATTAAGTACTTTTTTTTTTAGAAATCAATTCTACAATGAATATTCTTTATTTTGGGATACTTTTATTGCAGTTATTGCTGTGTTTTTAAACCAAAAACCACGATCAAAATGTGACGTTAATCTTCAAATTTGCCAAATTATTTTTAGATTTTACTCAATAATGGTAATGAAATTCAAGAATCTATTTCATTAATGGACTACAAGAATATATGTCCGATGATTACTATATATTTTTAAGCTTATTATATGAGCATAAATAATAGATACAGGACTTTGAAAATGAGTCTGCGGCAATTTTTCCGTAAAATGGTTGTGGGAGATGGGGCACTGTGAATTAAGCAAAAGAGTTTTAGTAAATCCGTTTCATTAATGGTCAACACCAAGGATTGACCTATCTTTCGCAGTTATTAAATAATCTCTGGGTGTTGCTTAAGATAGTAATTCATGCTTCCAAAATCTTAGAAATTCGCACGAAAATGTAAAATGGCTCTTAACTCGGTCGGGTTGTACTTAACTTTCCAAAAACGCATCTTTCAAAATCTACTTAATTGATATGCCACTAAAAATAGCAAGCATTATTTTTTGTGTCGTAAATTCTGCCTGACATGCCGTTTCTAATTTCAGGTACGCCATGGAAAGGTTCTGCAGAATACTGGAGAACTTCAAGGCTGCTTCTAATATCAACTTCAAGGTAAATTGAATAGATTCTCTCTGTCGTAGAGTAAAAGATCTGATGATGATGTAATCCCACACAAGATTTTTTTATTTCAGCATCAGAATTACCTGTTTTTGGATCGTTTTTTTTTTCATCATCTTCATTTCAGCCAAAAGACATTACTCAACATAGGCCTCCCCCAATGATATCCATAATGACTGATTGGTAGTGGTCAGCATCCACCGCCTTGCTGCTACCTTTATGAGGTCACCGGTCCACCTTGAGGGTGGACGTCCACTTCAGAGCGGCCTGCATCCAGCGCCTTTCTGCTACCTTTATGAGGTCGTTTGTACTCCAGAACCTTGCTGCCCCATCGGCCGTCAGTTCTACGTACTATATGCCCTGCCCTTTGTTACTTTAGCGCACTGTGCAACTGAGTTTTTTACACTCGTATATTATCTACATCAGTGTGTGTTACCAGTGATGACGTGAAACGTGGCCTCTCACTATAGGCCTCATAAAGAAGCTCAAAGATGCAAAGCGTGCTATGGGAAGGGTTATGATTGGTGTTTCTTTACGAGATCGAATCAGAACTAAAGTCGCTGACATAACCCGTCGATTAGCAAGCTGAAGTCGCAATGGGCAGGGCACATAGTACGCAGAACTGACGGCCGATGGAGCAGCAAGGTTCTGGAGTACAAACGACCTCATAAAGGTAGCAGAAAGGCGCTGGATGCAGGCCGCTACCAACCGGGCGATGAGGAAATCATTGGGGGAGGCCTATGTTCAGCAGTGGACGATGATATTATCTGCGTGCAAGCCGTGTGGTGACGGCAGAGTAGAATACATTTGTCATCAACCCCTACTCTTCCCGCGGGTGTCGTAAGAGGCGACTTAGGGACTACACATCAAACAGAGAACGGGCAGCAGCGCTCTCTGTCTTCTAAACATCAATCTTCTAAACCAGTGTTTTTCAACCTTTTTCATAAAGCGACCCCCCTAGCATGAAAAATATTTTTTGCGACCCCCCGACCGTTCGCTTTTTTTCATGCCTTTTACGAAGATGTTGCAGGGACCGAATTCTTCAATCTATACAACATTTATGCATTTGCATAATTAATTAGATTTCGGATTTTACTGAGGTAGTTTTTACGACCTCTCGCGACCCCCCTATAGAGGCTTCGCGACCCACAGGTTGAAAGACACTGTTTTAAACTATGATCTCCAACCCGTCTGCCCAGCGTGGGGATTATGGCAAAACCCTCCACTATATTGAAGGCTCATAGTCCAGCAGTGGACTGTAAAGGGCTGTTGATGATGATGATGACGATATTATCTGCAGGTGGAGATGATCCCCATAGACGGCTCAGCGGCCCCGGGCTACGTGCTAGCGAGGACGTTGCATCCGCAGAAACACGGCAGCACCAGCGAGCGGCTGCACGACATTCACGCGCGGAGCACGCCGCACACCGGTGAGTGAGCGAGAGAGTGATCTCTCTCTCCTATCTCTCCCTCTGACCTCTCATCTCTTTCTCCCCTCTCTTTCCCCCTCTCTTTTCTCCTCTCTTTCTCCCCTCTCTTTCCCCCTCTCTTTTCTCCTCTCTTTCTCCCCTCTCTTTCCCCCTCTCTTTTCTCCTCTNGAAGGCTCATAGTCCAGCAGTGGACTGTAAAGGGCTGTTGATGATGATGATGACGATATTATCTGCAGGTGGAGATGATCCCCATAGACGGCTCAGCGGCCCCGGGCTACGTGCTAGCGAGGACGTTGCATCCGCAGAAACACGGCAGCACCAGCGAGCGGCTGCACGACATTCACGCGCGGAGCACGCCGCACACCGGTGAGTGAGCGAGAGAGTGATCTCTCTCTCCTATCTCTCCCTCTGACCTCTCATCTCTTTCTCCCCTCTCTTTCCCCCTCTCCTTTCTCCTCTCTTTCTCCCCTATCTTTCTCCCCTCTTTCTCCCCTCTCTTTCCCCTATCTTTCTCCCCTCTTTCTCCCCTCTCTTTCCCCCTCTCTTTTCTCCTCTCTTTCTCCCCTATCTTTCTCCCCTCTCTTTCCCCTCTCTTTCCTCCTCTATTTATCCCCTCTCTTTCTCCCCTCTCTTTCCCCTCTCTTACTCCCCTCTCTAGCCACTCCGCTTCCTGCGGTTATACTGGCCGAATCGCGGGAGACGGATGTTTCCTGGGTAATAAAGCAAGAGTTTTAATTAGTCCGTCAGTTAGCTTACCAAAAACTACTCAACACGTATTTTTCACTTTTTAAAACTAATGAAAATGTAAAGAGATAAAGCGTGCCAAAGTTCTAAAGAATAGGCCCGTGACGTCAGTGAGTGCGTAAAAGTGCAGCACTTTGTGACGCCGCGCGGAACTTCAACGCACTATAACTTTGTAATTATTTGTTTGATTGACAATTAAAAATATACGTGTCCAATATTTTTTTATACTAAAATTGACAGACTAAGTTATTTTTTTTAGGAAACTAGCCTATTGCGGCTGCCTAGGGCAGATTGCAATCTACCGCGCCACACTTCTTGACTCCCTACAAGTTATTTTTCTTGGTCCTTGTCCCTATATTACAGTTCTCCCCCTTCTGATGCCTGACGTTCACTCCACTCTCTCTCTGATCTCTCTATCATCTCTTTCTCCCTCCCTTTCTTTCTCTTTCTGTACACGCGAGAGAGAGAAAGAGAACATTGCGTTGTACTAGTCATGTGCACGTCCCTATAAGTACGCTATTCGCTATCTTTTCCCCCGTTTCTGTCTCTCTCCTCACTCTTCTACATTTCCCTCTGATCTCACTCCCCTATCTATTTCCTCCCTCTCTCCTCTATCTCCTCCCTCTCTCCCCTATCTATCTCCTACCTCTCTCCCATTTGTCCCTCTGATCTCTTTTCCCATTTATCTTCTCTTTCGCTCTCCATCTCTTCTATACCTCTCTCCCTCCCTCCTCTCCTTTCCCTCTACGAGACAGAGAGGGAACATTGAGGGAGGGCTTTGCCGTTTATAGGTTGCGCAACGAAAGTTGAGACGAACACCCACTGATGTAATATTTGAATACAATATACACAAATCAGTCAGAATGTACAGTCGCGGAATGAAGAGGTTCGTCACCTTAGTGTCGGTTTTAGCTTGCACTAGGTACTGTAAGAGTCAAACCTGCCAACATAACCGTGCAAGAAACAGTGCTGCTGACATTTAAATAAATATCACGTTTGCTAACGAATAAGGTTTTGCTTGTTTATTTTTCTATCCCATCAGTGCAATGTTACAAAATGTAGTTTTTTTATTTAATAGATAATGGCAGGTTGAACCAACAAGAAGGTTTTAGATTATCAATCATAATCTTCTTGACAAGTTAAATCATCAAACAACTTTGATCTGAATAATTTTGAACTTTACTGACGAACAGTTAAAGATTATTTTCTTTAACTCGAGATTATTCTGTAACATAGTTTCAAAAGATAATATGTGCTCGCGTTTCGTTGAAGGAATCAAATTGAAAACTGACGAACCTTTTCATTCCGTGACTGTACTTGCCATGAGCACGTTGCTATAAGTCCCGTATCCCTCAATCCCATCTCTCTCTTCCCCTCTCCCATCTCTCCCTATGATATCTCTCTCTTTCTAGCTCTCCCCCTCTCTCCCCTCTCTTTTCTCTCCCGCCCCGCTCCCCTCTTCACGTTACGAGACAGAGAGAGAACATGTCTGCTGACTTTTGCTACACCTCACTCATCCACTGGAAATCAGCGTCATGATTTGCAGCACGCAAGTCTTTCAGGCTTGAGCTTGGCTTGAATAGACAGTTTGACACCATACCCCATTAATTCGAAACCACAACTTTTTTAAAAAGACCCTTCATTCTGGTCTTAAAAACTTAATAAATTTTAAATTACCTGTAAATTACGATTTTTGTTCGCATTGTTATTGAAAAAAGTAGTTTATTTGAGTTGACAAAATAGTGACGTCACTTGCTTGTAGTGCCATACAAAATCTGTGGGAGTTTCGTTTTGACAGTTTTAAAAAGTACGTCAATTGATTGGTGGTGTCAACATGTCTTTTCTATTTTTTTTTCTCTTTTACGTCGATAATAGAGGCGGATACAGCTTTCCACACGATCCTATCTTTCCCTGTTGTCTTTGCTGTTTATAAATCGCGCAACGAAAGTTGAGGCGAACACCCACTAATGTAATATTTAAGTACAATACAATATACACAAATCAGTCAGAATATGCAAGACGTTAACGCTACAAGCGTATACAGATATAAATCTTTGCTTGTGTTGATCACCTCATCTCTTGCTACGCGACTTATACTTTTCAACAATTTGTAACATCACTCTGTATGTTTGTAACGTACATTTCGATACTGACCCCATGTTTTTTCTACCAGTGAACGCGTGGGCGGGCTACAAGCACAGCTGCGACTGTCTAACGCCGCGGACGCTATGCTCGCAGCAACGGAAGCAGCTACTGAGGTTAATATCACAGTGTTAACAATAACTACAACCCGCAAGGTGGACCGACGACCTCATAAAGTCATCATAGAAGTCATTGGAGGAGGCCGATGTTCAGCAGTGAACGTTTTATGACTGAAATGATGATGATGAATAATTAACTATCGAAGTTTTTAACATTGTTTTTTTGCGATTTGAATAATATTTGACACCATTCACCAATAATTCAAGCACAACTTTTTTAAAAACACAGTTCTTTTTGACTTTTGTTTACTTTGTAATTGATAAATAGTTACTCGATTGAGTTGACAAAAGTGACTTCATCGGTTTGAGATTTTAAAAAGACGGTTATGGAGGTAGTGACTGGTGTCAAATACCCTAATAAGAATGCATTCGTACCTTTCAAGTCAGTAAAAAAAAATCACTATAAAAAGAATAGCATAACGAAATTAATAAAAAAACGTTACAAACAATCCATACTGACATTAACCTTCCGCGGACAGTTCGTACTGTTCCAGGATATCGTTCTTCGGGATGATGCAGGCGGTCAACCAGTTCCAAGATTCTAAGTGCGACGCCGAGGACACCAATCACCTCGATGATAAGTGAGTGATCATAATTGATGCTATTCTCTCAATTTTTATACATCAAAAGTCATGTATTTGACCGCAATCACACTTCATGTAGAATGGATATACTTGCTCTGTAGAATGGACACAACTGCCAAAGGAATGTTCGTGTGAAAGTAGTATTAAAACACGTATGCTAAATGGTCCTAAATCCCGCAAAAAACCGGATGTCCCAAAGAGCCATAATAGTCTGTTGGGTGCATGTAAAGTGTAACGCACAACAAGGGTGGGAAGGGGTATCATCTATCATCCTTCATTATATCAAGTCCGATCCCACTTGGTCCCATTTTGTAACTCGTCTCACTTATAACTTGAAAATGGCACAAATCAAGTCGACCGCGACGTATATTGCCAAAATCAAAAAAGAAGAAGAAATATTGTCTGCTGTCCTATTTCATATTGTGTAGTTCGGTCCTCCAGTCGATCGGTAGCAGATTACGGGACGCGCGCGATCGTGCTTACCTAATAAATGTAACATTGAACACGCCTAATTATTTGGGGGTCATCCCACCACACCCTTCTGGCTAGAGACATACAATGCTTTAAAGCAGTGATCCCAATATGACGTTTCGGGACAGTAGACAATATTTCTTCTTCTTTTTTGATTTTGGCAACACACGACGAGGTCGACTTGATTTGTGCCATTTTCAAGTTATAAGTGAGACGAGTTACAAAATGGGAACAAGTGGGATCGGACTTGATATAATGAAGGATGATAGATGATACCCCTTCCCACCATTTGAGTCTCAGTAAAGTTACGGTGCTTTACTGAGACTTCAAAATGGACTATTTGAGAGAATCCGAAGAATCATGCTGTACTGTTTTGTTTCATTTGCCCACACTCATGCACGTTCACGAACACTAAGGTTGAGTTGCACCACCTTATTTTAACCGTAACAATAACGATTACCGGTGCTTTTTGTATGGAGTTTGACAGCTTTTTGACGCTTGTCAAAGTTAAAGTAGGATGGTGCAACTCATCCTTAATGGTTAATAATGTTTTAGAAAGTAAAACACAACTGCTAACATGACATTCCCGCCAAGAAGCCAACTGTAGACAATATTTGTGGGCGTTGCACTTTGCATGCACCCTACAAGCAGACTACAACCAGAGTAAATACAAATGAGTAGGTCATCTTCATAGAAACGCACGGGCGCGGTTTGTATGTGAGCGCGCCAATACGTATGGGGCGCGCACGCACACACTGACAAAATTCGGCGCAACCAAGACTGGCTCCCCGCTAATCCCCGCTAAATTGTGTCAGTCTATGCGTGCGCGCCGCATACGTGTTGGCGCGCTNTTTGTATGTGAGCGCGCCAATACGTATGGGGCGCGCACGCACACACTGACAAAATTCGGCGCAACCAAGACTGGCTCCCCGCTAATCCCCGCTAAATTGTGTCAGTCTATGCGTGCGCGCCGCATACGTGTTGGCGCGCTCACATACAAACCGCGCCCGTGCGTTTCTATGAAGATGACCTACTCATTTGTATTTACTCTGCTACAAGTCCATACAAAAAGAATGTTTTTTTAACTTGTCTGGTTTTGTCCCTCAGGCCGCCCGATACAGTGGAACGGCAGCCGGCGGGTCACCTGGCTTGTGCGGGCGAATGCGCCGGCGCAAGGGACGGCCGCCAGTCGCCCGGGACCGACTCCAACCGGACCGTCGATTTGGACGACCGTGAGTGTTGTAAACATGTACCATCTTCAGGACATTTAGCCATGTATTCGTTAGGCAACATTTGTTGATAAACACTGTTTATAAACAATGTTTCATCATCTCTGTAAACAGTTTATAAACAGTCCATAAACATAGGTGAAACATTGTTTATGATACATGTTGCCGTGCTCCCCGCTATGAGTGGAGAACAAGTGTGGACGGCCAAGTTTCAGAAACCTGTGTTTATGGTAAACTTGTTTCACACTATAGTCTGGTCCGTGAGCACGTAGAATTTAGTCCAATGACCCCAAGCTACCCATCCTTATCGCTCGCGCGTAATTATGTTGCCATCGCGCTCGCACACTCACTGCGGGTGCCCGTCGCACAGTCGCGACAGCAATATAATTACGCGCGAGTGATAAGGATGGGTAGCTAGGGGTCATTGGACAAAATTCTACGTGCTCGCGGTCCGGGCTTTAGTCATAAACAGTTTATCCACAAATGTTGCCTAATGAATACATGGCTTTAGTCTCCACTGCAGACCCTCTCTAATTTACCAGCGGCAAATGGAGGATTTGGCCTACACTCCTGACGCTCTCCAGACGAATAGTTGTTATTGTCATAACAAACCTAACATAAGACACCCCGCATCATCATCATGATCATTTCAGCCACAGGACGTCCACTGCTGAACATAAGCCTCCCCCAATGACTTCCACATCGCACGGTTGGTAGCGGCCTGCATCCAGCGCCTTCCTGCTACCTTTATCAGGTCGTCGGTCCACCTTGAGGGTGGACGTCCCACGCTGCGTTTGCGACACCCCGCAAATTGCAGATACTTTGTTGGCCGATAGTGTAGTCGGGCAATTAATCAATATGAAATGCGCATGCTACAACGATTTGGTATCGAACGATTCCTCATTATAAATGAAATCCGACCAAACTATCGGCCGACTAAAACTCTGGGAACCCAGGAAAAGTCATGGAATTGTTTTTGTCCCGGTTTTTGGTATGATGATCTTCGCATCTGGTCACCTGGGTGAATTAATTCCTAGGTGAAAAAAGGCGACCGCTTTAGTCCAATCAATTCACCTGGGTGATATAACCTGGGTGAAATGTTTCCGAGATGAAACGAGGACACAAAAAAAAACGCTTTCTTACTTAGGTGAACGAAGTGGAATAATCCGGGGGACATACAAGACTACATATTTGAATAAGTTTAAGTATACCTTTGTCTGATGCCCATAAAACAAGCTTTACATCGTTTGTATTAAATGTAACTATGTAAAATTTACGTTTCCGTCCTTATTTGCCGACAGTGAGCGGCGAGTCGGACGCTAACTCCGGAAGCAACTCGCTAGGGCTTTCTACGTCGTCGTTGGACTCGGCTTCGGAGCTGCTCCTCGCTGCTGCCGCCGCTGTGGACTCAGCTGGAGAAGACGCCGAGGCCGCGCCAGGTAGGATGCGACATGTCATGACGTGATAGAACCTGAAAGAACCTAGAGATCCGCAGGAGAACCAAAGTGACCGACATAGCTCGCAGAATTGCTAAAATCAAGTGGCACATAGCTCGTAGAGACGATGGCCGTTGGGGCAGAAAAGTTTTCGAGTGGCGACCACGGGCTGGAAGACGTAGCGTGGACAGGCCTCCTACTAGGTGGACCGACCATCGGGAAGAGCCTGGATGCGGGCAGCGCAGGACTGTTCATTGTGGAAAACTTTGGGGGAGGCCTTTGTTCAGCAGTGGACGTTCTATCGTTCGTTGCTTTGGCTGCAACCTGCAACCAAATAGAACCTGAAATGAGATTCGTACGTAGGATACGTCTTGTGGTAGAAACTGTCGTTATTAAGAACGAACAACACGTCTTCCGTGGATAAAGGTCGCCACCAAGGATTCCCACTACGAGCAGTCCTGCGCCGTCGATATTTGGGTGGTTTCATCAACCTTTGACACCGTGAGGGCCACCTCGCGAGATCGTCGGTCTACGGAGTAGTCTTCCGGTCCGGTCGTCATATAAACATCAGTTCTACGATATAAACATCTTCCACTGCCACTTAACTTCTGCGGGCAAGGTTACTCTGTAGGTCTTCTTATTTCTGATTCAACAACACCTTAGTTACACAACCATTTCAAAACTTTTTTCATCTACCTCATTGACACATCATATTTTATTCCGTACAGGAGAACTCTGTCGGACCGTCAGACACCTGATGCGGTCGATAGCGTCCATAGAGCGGCTGATGGACCGCGTGCTCAAGCACTGCGACGAATGGCCGGCGCCTCCTAGTAGGAACGACCATGAAGCCAGGTAAGGAGAATATTGTGAACAGTTTCTTCAGTGAAAATCGTGCTAGAAATATGAAAATTACATGGTTGTGATCGGAATGTGAGGAAATTTGACGGTGCAAAATAATAGTAGATTGTTATGGTATGTCAAGCGTCTAAGGCTATTGGTAGACTGTATTTTGAAGCGTCGTGGCGAGTGGCTGGCACCTCTTAGCAGGAATGACCATGACGCCAGGTATGATAAATGATGGAAACGCTTTCTTTAGTGTAACTCGTCCCGCTGGACGAGAATTATAAGGTTGTGATCGGAATGTGAGGCAATTAGACGGTACGAAATATGGTTTTAAGCAACTGACCGCTTTTTGAAGCGTTGCGCCGATTGGCCGGCGCCTTAGAAGGTGCTAGGCCTACCCAATGACCATGAGGCCGAGTATGAACAGTGTTGCCAACAGTTTCTTAAATGAAAATCGTTCTAGAGGTATAATAACTAGGCAGTTATGTTGAAAATGTAGGGCAATTGAACGATGCAAAATTTGATTATGATTGGTTGAAGTATACCTAACCAGTCATGAATTTTCTACGTGTTGGTTATGCTTATTCTATTTTGCTAATAATTACTGGCTACTAGTGGTGACTGAGTTTGTTCCGGCGTTTCATCTCAGCACTTGCCATATGTTTGTCTCGAAGCGCTGTAATAGGGCCCAAAAGATAAGGAGACATGTAAAGTGCTGCTTAAGGCTCAGAACAGACGGTGAAACGCAACTGCAACGAAACTGCAACTGCTAGTTACTTTTGAGTTGCATCTAAGTTTCTGCCATAGCGTCCGTTGAGAGACCACACATGACGCGACCAGTTTGAAACTTTCAGTGTCAGTTTCATTCATCAGAATCATCACAAAGTTGCAGTTTCGTTGCAGTTGCGTTTCACCGTCTGTTCTGGGCCTAAGGGATACCTTTTTTTACTGTATTTGACTTTCATAAGTGCTACCAGTGGTCAAAATTGAATAAAATATCTTTGATTTTGATAGATTTTTTTATTTTGTCCAGGAAACGCGTGGACATGGGCCTGTCAGAAGTGGATCGGAAGCTGATGGCGATGTACCGACGCCTGCCCGAGGTGCACTTGCGCCAGCTGCAGGTCTACAACAAGCAGAAGAAGCTTTCCACGGTGAGCGTCATCATCATCATCATCATCATCCTCCTACATCGTCGACATTCCACCAGCACTAAGCGTTTCGACAACTCTTTTATAATGCGAACAGCTAGGGACTGGAATTCGCTGCCTGCTGCTGTCTTTCCTGATACACTATAATCCGGGCCTTTTCAAGGCAAGAGTGAATAGGCACTTACAGGGCATATGTACCATCCTAGACGTCGTCTCACTTAACACCAGGTGCGATTGCTGTCAAGTTTTTTAGTCTTAGAGTACGACCTTCACTAATATACCAAAGGCAAACGAAGGATGTCATTTACCAAAAGAAGACGCTATCCACGGTGAGCGTCATCATCATCATCTTACTCATCATCAGGTCTTACTGCAAGAGCAAGACCCTCTCTAATTTACAAGAGGCAAATGAGAAGTTGTCTACTAGTAGAAAAAACTGTCCATAATTTGCCATCATTATCAGACCATTCAGCACAACCCTCTAATATACCAGAGGCAAGTGGGGGATTTGGCCTAGGCCTATTCCCCACTTATCACCTTTATGATGTCGTCGGTCCACCTTGTGGGTGGACGTCCCACGCTGCGTTTTCCGGTACGCGGCCTCCACTCCAGAACCTTGCTGTCCCATCGGCCGTCAGTTCTGCGTACTATGTGCCCTTCTCTAATTTACTAGAGGCAAATGGAGGATTTGGTCTACACTTCCCAGTGTCGACGTTAAGGGATGTCTACAACACGCAGAAGAAACAGTCCGTTCGTTATCATCAGGTCTTTTAACTGCCTCCGTGGTCTAGTGGTAAGAACCCGCGTTCCTCGAATGACGAGTCGGCTAGTACAATGCCTTGACCGTTTGGCTAACGTAGCTTAATGCTTTTGTGTCAATGGAGGCGTTTGGCAGAAAATAACGCTAGTAAGAAAAATGGTGTCCTCTTAGCGGTGTCACTGTAATAAAAAATGGCGATTGCCATTTGGCTAACAATTTCTAAGAAGCGCTATTTTCGGCTAAATGTAATGCCTATAAAGCCTGGTCCGTGAGCACGTAGAATCCCGTCCAATGACCCCAAGCTACCCATCCTTATCGCTCGCGCGTAATTATATTGCTGTCGCGACTGTGCGACGCGCGCCCGCAGTGAGTGTGCGAGCGCGACAACAACATAATTACGTGCGAGCGACAAGGATGGGCAGCTTGAGGTCATTGGACGGGATTCTACGTGCTCACGGACCAGGCTTTACCAAAGCCAATGATTAAATTTTGGCGGTGCAAGACTTGTGTAAACAAGTTCAACGGCTTGTGAACTTGTTTACACAAGTCTTGCAGCGGTGAGAACGAGAAATTGAGATAGTTTCAGAGGCCCTTCATAATGATGATGATGATGTTTGTAGTGTATAGTACTGACAGTGGCTGCGTTTTGCGGAAAATAGCGCTTGTTAGAAATTGTTAGCAAAATGGCGATCGCCATGGCAACCGCCGAAACTCTAGCATGTTTTCGGCGAGGACACGTTTGTTAAACTTCAAAAGTGACGTTTTCTCTAACAGCTCGCGCGCAATTATATTGCTGTCGCGACTGTGCGACTGGCGCCCGCAGTGAGTGTGCGAGCGCGACAGCAACATAATTACGCGCGAGCGATATGGATGGGTAGCTTGGGGTCATTGGACAAAATTCTACGTGTTCACGGACGCCAATAGGGATGTTTCCTGGGTCAAAAAGCAAGAGTTTTAATTAGTCCGTCAGTTAACTTATCAAATAATACTCTACATGTACAGGGTGTAAAAAAACCTATCACGAAGACTGAAACTACGCATTCTGTACACCCAACCAAGTAATATTACAAAATATTATTGGTGGGAAATATTTTTTATTTTTATGATTAAAAAAAATACAATATACCGCAGCCCGCAATGTATAGCGCGCCACGCAACGCAATGACCGTGCCTATGTGTGTGTGAGTGTATTGGAGCGTACGCGCTTTCCCGCCACTACCTACCGCGACCGCAGAAGTATTTTGTACACAAAATTACCAGATTATTCACTTCCTACATTTAAAAAACACATTCCTTTAGCATTTGTTTAGGTTTAGAACTAAGTACTTACCGACTAATCCCCTTCGACGTCGTCTGGAATCGGTGGCTCCAACCGGACAGTGCCTCGAACTGACGGCCTTCCACGTGCAAGCAAACGCGTGCCCGGTAAATCGTGTTTTGATGCGCGCTCCAGTATTCCTTCACGTACAGACCGGTATTTAAGTTCCTCAAATCCGACACAATACACGCCTAGACGAGGCCACAACGAGGCGGACGGAGGCACAATCGGCTGATTGTCCAACAGACGTTGTACAGCCAGAACAAAAATACGTGCATCAGTACGGTGTGGTGGGCTGCGCTGTAGGATGTTCAAGCATACTTAATAATTAATGCTTTTAGCAAGCTTCCAAAATACTCAAATTTGAATGAATTGTAGATGCGCAATCGGTATGAATAAAACAATAAGAACATTTTGATAGTTATTTCGTGTAATAAAGTTACGTTCATTTAAAATAATCACGAACAAGACTAATCATTTTATGTAAATTATGAATAATGGAAGTAATTGGTATGAAAGAAGCGCTAAAAGATATGAAATTTTGTTTAGTTTCTAAAATCAATCGAGTTTAAAAATAAAATCTTATCTTTTAATCTCCTATCGAAAGTGAAGGAGCAAGAGTTTGCCAGTGTGTTATTTTTAGGCGTTCAGATTGCAGTAATAAGTAAGTTAAGTTTTATTTTATTAATTACTATCGTAAAGACGTAAAATTTATTAAGTTAGAGAGCTAGAAATGTAAGCAATAATGAACCTGTGTGTAAAGAGCATTTGTCATTTGTTTACAGTACTTTTTAATGATACAAGTTTATCACATCTGCTTACTACCTGTGAATAGCGATTAAAATTACGTTTTTTTAGAATCCCGTGCATAACCATTATTTATTTCAAGTAAATTATGAAGAAAGGAAGTAATGAGTATGGAAGGAAGACTGAAAAAAGAGACTTTTTTATTTAGTTGCTGAAATCAATTAAGTTTAAAGAACACACAATCATCACTCCTATCGAAAGTGAATGCCTTAATCAACGATAGGAGTAACATTGCCAGGTGTTTACTCTAGGCGTTCAGAGCGGTGTGGTGTAAGCAATAATTTGAGTTTTACTTTATGAATTTTATTACTATCGTAAAGACTTAAGTTATTGAAGTAGACAGTTAAGAATGTAAAGAATTACAGGCCTCATTCAAAAGATCATTATTCATCTGTTTACGGTACTTTTTAATGATACCTACTTACGCTTATCACACTTGCATAGCTAATAAGACCTGTGATACCTACTACATTGTGATAGAATAACGGTTATGAGTAAAAGCACGGTTTAGTTAATAATGTTTAATAACCTAGGTTCTGTAAGATTATTTAATTTGCGGAAAGAAACAAATTCGTGTAAAGGGTTTTTATTAATAAAAGTGTAATTAATTATTTTTTAGAATAAAAACTAAACTGGTAAGGTGATATTAAGGTGTAAGTAACTAATTTAAGTACTCAATTCATTTTTACAAACTGGGTAGATTTGGCTTAAGCTTATTCCAGTTGGTCCAGTCGTAGTCGTTGAACTCACAGTAGAGTTGAATGACTCATGGGCGAGCGCGGGTTGCGGTTCGGGGCGTGGGGGCAGCGCTTGAGCGTGTGTGCGCGCGCTACTATACATTTCTTATTGTAAAGACAAAAGCCTTATTGTGACGAAAATACTCAAAATTTTAATAAGGTTTCTTAGAAAACATTTTTTTAAATAACGAATTGTAATTGATAATGTAAAAATCTTGAAAAAAATATTCTGACTTTGACCTTCAATATCTCCTAAACCACAAGTTTCCCAGGTATGGTCCCAAAGAAAAAAATGATCCTCATGATGTGGAGAATAAGTAGTCTTCGGCTTCGGGATAGGTTTTTTTACACCCGTTATTTTTCACTTATTCAAACTAATGAAAATTTAAAAAGATAAAGCGCGCCAAAGTTCATACGAAGAGGCCCGTGACGTCAATGCTTGCATAAAAGTGCCGCACGTTGTGACGTCGTGCGGAACTTCAACGCACCATAACTATGTAATTATTTGTTAGATTGACAAATAAAAATATATGTGTCCAATATTTTTTGATATTAAACATGACGGACTAAAAAAATTTTTTTAGGAAACTAGCCTATTGCCCCTATTAGTCCTCAAACATTTTCGTCTACCGTCAGGTGTGCATGCAGCTGGTGGGCGGTAGCGCGCCGCTGCCGCCGTGCCCGGGCTCGCCGCCGCCCACGCCGCACCACCACCACGCCGCGCCGCCCTGCCGCAACCTCTGTCCGGAATACCATTTAAGGCGGTTCCAGGAGGTGAGCAGAAACCTTAATATTAAAGCAAAAGAGTGCATTTTTGCTCGGGATTCTATGATGCATCCTGTGTATAGAAGGCTACCATTTCAAGCGCTTGCGTTGAGATGAGCGAATAGTGACAGCAGTATAGTTCACTTTCGTGTAGCAACGAGGGAATGCACCCTGCATTTGTATTCACGACGTTATGCCGCAACCTCTGCCCGAGTACCATCTCAGGCGGTTCCAGGAGGTGAGCAGATAAAGACCTTGTAGACAAGGCCATAGGCTACATTTTAAATTAATGGTGGGGAAACTTTAAGGTGCATTTTTGTTCGCGACGTTATGCCACAATCTGTGTCTGAAGTAACGTCTCAAGCGCTTGCAGGAGGCGAGCGAATAGCAGCACTATTGTGAGAGCAGTGTAGTTCACTTTGGTCTAGCAATGAGGGAGTTTTTGGGTGCATTTTTGCTTGCAACTTAAAGCTGCCAAAATACCATTTAAGATGCTTCCAAGAGTGAGGGAAAAGCGACATTATTGGTGGAGCAAAAGAGTGTGTTTTAGAGTAATGACGAGGGAACTTTAGGGTGCGTTATTGCTCGCGTCTCTGTGCCGCAACTTGGACCCAGAGTAGCATCTAAGACGCTTCCAGGAGGCGAGGGAATAGCAGCCGTGTTGTGAGAGCACTATTGTCCACTTTGGTGTAGCAATGAGGGAGGTTTTAGAGTGCATTTTTGATTGGGACCCTGGGATTGCAGGATTGGAACCCTATGACGGTATACCATCTAAGGCGCTTCCAAAAGTCAGAGAATTGCTAGTGCAATGATGGATAGTAGGGTGCATTTTAGTGTAGCAATGAGCTTTGGGAATACTTTTGCTCGCGTCTCTGTGCCACAATCCGGACCTAGAGTGGCGGCACTAAGGCGCTTCAGGGAGGTTAGAGAATAGCGACTGTAATGCTGGACAGTAGGGTGCAATATAGCTCGCCGCACCACCACCACGCCGCGCCGCCCTGCCGCAACCTCTGTCCCGAGTACCATCTCCGGCGGTTCCAGGAGGTGAGCGAACATAGACCTTGTAGACTGAGCCGTAGGGTAGACTTTGGTGTAGCAAGGAGAGAACTTTAGGGTGCATTTTTGCTGGCGACGTTATGCCACAATCTGTCTGAAGTAACGTCTCAAGCGCTTGCAGGAGGCGAGCGAATATAGACCTTGTAGACTGAGCCGTAGGGTGCACTTTGGTGTAGCAAGGAGAGAACTTTAGGGTGCATTTTTGCTTGCGACGTTATGCCGCAACCTCTGTCCCGAGTACCATCTCCGGCGGTTCCAGGAGGTGAGCAGAAACCTTAATATTAAAGGAGATCTTAATATTAAGGGATCCTGAGACGCATGCTGTTTCCGGAGTAACATTTAAGATGCTCCTGAAGATGAGGGAAAAGCTTTGTTAATGGTGGAGCAAAATAGTATGTTTTAGAGTAATGACGAGGGAACTTTAGGGTGCATTATTGCTCGCGTCTCTGTGCCGCAACTTGGACCCAAAGTAGCATTTAAGACGCTTGTAGGAGGCGAGCGAATAGCAGCACTATTGTGAGAGCAGTATAGTCCACTTTGGTGTAGCAATGAGGGAGGCTTTAGAGTGCATTTTTGATTGGGACCCTGGGATTGCAGGATTAAAACCCTATGACGGTATACCATCTAAGGCGCTTCCAAAAAGTCTGAGAATTGCTACTGTAATGATGGATAGTAGGATTCATTTTGTGTAGCAATGAGCTTTGGGAATACTTTTGCTCGCGTCTCTGTGCCACAATCTGGACCCAGAGTGGCGGCACTAAGGCGCTTCAGGGAGGTTAGAGAATAGCGACTGTAACGCTGGACAATAGGGTACAATATAGCTCGCCGCACCACCACCACGCCGCGCCGCCCTGCCGCAACCTCTGTCCCGAGTACCATCTAAGGCGGTTCCAGGAGGTGAGCGAATTTAAACCTTAATGGTGAAGCAGAAGAGTGCAATTTCGAAGGAACTTTCGAGAGCGTTTTTGCTCGCGAGTCCTGGGACTCATCCTGTATCCGAAGCGCTTGCAACAGGTGAGCGAATAACGACTCTAATAGACGAAGACATAGGATGCATTGTAGCCCTGCTAAAGTCTCTATCCCGAGTACCAGCTCAGGCGGTTTCAGGAGATGAGCGAACAGCAGCCTTATCGTGAGAACAGTATAGTCCACTTTGGTGTAGCATTTAGGGTGCATTTTTCTTGCGACGTCATGCCGCAACTTCTGTCCCGAGTACCATCTCCGGCGGTTCCAGGAGGTGAGCAAATTGCAGCCCTATTGTGGGAGCAAATCTCACCACCACCCTTGGTTCTTCCTGCCTCACGGCGTACGAACCGAATCTCGGGAGAGCGCACGGGTACTTGCACTGGGCTCTTTCCCCGGGCGCTTTGCTTGACTCCCTACAAATTTCTCTAATCCATGTCCCTTCTCATTGTCAATTCTCCCCCTTCTGGGGCTTGACACCACAAATACGGTACTTCGCGTCGGGCTGCTATCGTTGATAAATGTCATCACTTCTTCTCATAACTTCGCTTGATTATTGTGGGAGCAGTAAAATCCCGTTTGGCAAAGGAATGAGCGAGCTTGAAGGTGCATTTTTGCTCGCGTCTCTATGTCGCAACTTGGATCCAGAGTAGCATCTAAGGCGCTTCTAGAAGGTGAGCGAATAACGACTGTAATGCTGGACAGTAGGGTACAATATAGCTCGCCGCACCACCACCACGCTGCGCCGCCCTGCCGCAACCTCTGTCCCGAGTACCATCTCCGGCGGTTCCAGGAGGTGAGCGAATATAGACCTTGTAGACAAGGCCATAGGCTACATTTTAGATTAATGATGGGGAAACTTTAAGGTGCATTTTTGCTCGCTACGTTATGCCGCCATCTGTGTCTAGAGTACCATCTCAGGCGGTTCCAGGAGGTGAGCGAATAGAGATCTTAGTGGTGAAGCAGAAGAGTGCAATTTCGAAGGAACTTTCGGGTGCGTTTTTGCTCGGGATCCTGTGACGCATCCTGTATCCGAAGCGCTTGCAACAGGTGAGCGAATAACGACTCTAATAAACAATGCAATGTAGCCCTGCTAAAATCTCTGTCCCGAGTACCATATAAGGCGCTTCCTGGAGATGACGGAATAGCTACTCTAATAGACAAAGCCATAGGATGCACTTGTGTAATGGAGTAGGAGTAAGTAGGAGGTTCGTAGGGTGCATTTTTGCTTGATTCATACGTCACAACGTATCTTGAGTTCAAAATACCATCAGAGGCGTTTCCAGGAGATGAGTGCGATGCGGTTAAGCGAATATCAACCTTAATAGCAAACAATAAGGTGTCATCTTGCTTGCTCTAACTTTCTAGGTTCTCTAGGTTTCTTTTTTTCTTTGTTCACGTACGTAAACAGTAACAACAACGAAATAAACAACTACCCTCATTCCTTTCCAGGTCCGGCGCAAAGTGATGCACATGCGCGACCAACAACTATACTACCAGCGCCTGCGCGTGTGGCTCGAGCAGCAGCTTCGCCGCGAGAGGGAGAGGTAACTTGAGCCTTACACTCCACACATAGAGTTCAATATTCATGACCAGCCCAAAGGTGGCAGTGTCTGACTCAATTTACCACAATTTTTCTTGGAAGAGCTAAATTCAACCTTATACTCCAGACATAGAGTTCAATATCGCTAGGTGTCTAAATTCATCATCATTTCAGCCATAGGACGTCCACTGTTGAACATAGGCCTCCCGCAATGATTTCTATAATGACAGGTTAGTAGCGGCCTGCATCCAACGTCGGTCCACCTTGTGAAGGACTTTCCACGCTGAGATTTCCGGTACGAGGCCTCAATTACAGAACCTTGCGGACCCATCGGCCGCCAATTCTGCATATTATGAGCCCTGCCCATTAAAGTTGTTAAGTTCAAAATTGGCAATAATATTCCAACAGTGTCATATCGGACACAATACTTCTTGAAAAAGTTAAATTCAACCTTATACTGATTACAATCAACTCATAAACTTAAAAATCCATTGCACAACCATAATCAAATCATATTTCTCTTACAGCCTGCCAGACAGCAACGTCACGTTAGTCGAAGACTTACCTCGGCGCAAGCGTCGAACCGCGAGCCCCAAGCTGCCACGCCTCGCCACCGCTCCTAAGAGACGCCTCAAACACCCCTCCCCCCTAGCACGGCCCCATAAGATCCTCCAAATGCTCAAATACAAAACCCCCCAAACCGAACTCTTGAAATCCGACGAAGAAAAACCCAAGTCCGAAGCCGAACCGCCCGAGGCGTTCCCTTTAGAGAGAGAAGACAATATCAGCGATACCGAAACGATCGTAGGTGAGAAAGAGTCGGTGGATATCTGCAAGGAAATGAAGGAGTGTCTGGCCAAATTCGCCAATTTCGCTCTCACGACAGACGCGAATCTACAGCAGGAATACGAAATGCAGACGGAAGGAGGGAAGTATCCCGAATCCGTCAGTCCGCCGTTGCAAGAAATGTCGCCAACGACGTCCGAACCGACGCCCACCTTCCAGAAACCAACTCAAAGATTATTATCCGTCAACAAATTACTCCGCGACGATAAAAACGACGCACAAAACGCACCCGATATCAATATACCGTTGAATGCACGCAAAAAAGAAGACGAAAAGGAATGCAATGAAGAAGAATGCAACGATAAGGACCCTAATGTGTACAAGTATGTAACGTTTGGTTTAGAAATCAAAAAAGCTATGGAGGAGTGTCAGAACATAATCAATTCTTACAATACCATGAACAACGGGACCAAAGATGACGATGGGCCGTTGTCGCTGGAACAGATTTGCGAGCAAGTCCTTAATTTGGACAAGGATTTCGCTGATGTTCCTTACGCTAAACTCGATTTAGACGATCCCAGACATTTAAAAGTTGCCAACTTCTTCTTCGAAAACATGCCGCAAATCATCGCCAACATGCCCAAAATTGCGTCCAAACTCAACTTAGAACTACCAGATTTAGATACTGTTATCACTAACATACCAGACGAGGCGCAGTTCACGCCGGAAACTTTAAAACAAATTAGAGAGTTAAAGCTTAATAAATATAGGGATAACGTGAAAGTCACTAAGAACACTGCCAAACGCAAAGCGAACCGTAGGATTAAGAATAATATTGACCCTGACTTCATAGGCACTATGACGTTCGAATTCGACTCGAAGGATATCACAGACTTATTGAAAGACGAAAAGGAGTTGCAGGCGTTAATGAAAAGCAAGAGCAACAATAAAGAAGATTTCAAAGATCTGCTGTTTTCGATCTCGGCTCAAGTAGTTATAAATAAAGTTTTCGAATATTTTAAACAGAACAAAAGTCCCGAACTGGCTAAATGTTTAGAGGAAGACGGCGAATTGTTCGCGTTGCCCAAAAACGCGATCAATTGTGAAATGTACTCACAAGCGTCTACATTATTCGATAATTCGGTGAAAGACGCCCTCAGTATGGACGAGTTACGCGAACTAGTGAAGTCCCGCTTTGTGTCGTGGAAACACTACGTCGCGGCGAAATTCAAGAATATACCCATGGAGTTACTAGAGCACGAAATCGAAGCTATGCTAGACAAATTCTACACGTACATCCAAGATTTGGCTTCAAAGCAATACGCGAATGATTGTGATAAGTTATTAGAAAAAACCGAAGAGATACGAACGAGGGATTTTAGTCCCGACTCTGATAATTGCACCTCTAAGGAATCGCTGCAGCAAATTACAAAATTTTTAAGAACATCTGCTGGGAACGCCTTCGATCTTCTTCTTATGAAACTGTCAGAGATGTATCAGGACCAGAAATGGTCGGTAAAAGGCCTGAAATTCAACTACATGGATGTTTTAAGACGATGCGCGGAATCCCAGCAGTTAGCCGGATGGATTCTAGTCAACCCAGAGATAGCAGCAAATGTGATGCAAGAACTAACTGGATTGCCGATAAAAAACACTGAGAACGTACCGGATTTTACGACGTTATCGTTAGACAAAAAGAAGGACTACTTCATTGAGAGGTTAAGAGAAATGAACAAGGTATACATGGAGAGTTTGCCCAAGAAAGCACTTACGGGTGACGAGTGGCTCGTGATGCTGTATAGATTGGAACAACTCGAGCAAAAGTTGAAGGAAGCGTTCTCTAAAATACAACCGCCTCCTGCGACTGTGTCAGTCAAATGTCAAACGAATTCGATATCGAACGCGAGCGAAGCCGAAATCTTAGCAGCTAAGGGCCTCAGCAAAATCATAGGGAAAGCGAATGTTAGGCCTGTAAAGAAAACCGAACCGAAACCCGTCGTGAAGGAAGAGGAAAAACCGGCGGAGAAACCGGAAAAAGAAGACGACGATAAGAAATGTAAAAACGATGCTTTACTGGCAAAATGCGAAGCGATACTCACATCGAAAGGGGACAATACTTTACTAGATAGCTTCTACACGATCAAACATTACATCACCCAAGGATTACCAGTCCCGGAGACGTACAAAAAGCACGTAATTTCCATCTGTTCGAGCATAGACGCGAAATTACTGGACGAAGATATCGAAGAGACCTTAAAAGTGACAGATGACGTTGACAGTTGCACGATAGAGCAGAACCTAGCTGTCATTGGTTCTCAGAACCCAGAATTGTTGGCTAAATATTCCGCGCAAGCGTTACGAAACGCGCGTCAAACGTTAAATACAGTTGCGTTCAGAAACATGATGCGGAATGGACAATCTAAATCAGAGTCCGACGCGTGTGATACCCCGAAAACTGACTGCAAATGGACGAACGATTGTCTCTGCAATTCTTGTAAAGACGCAGACTCCAATTCGGTCTGCCTAGGCGATATAGTGAAGCAGTGCTATGAGAAAGGCAAGAGTGGTCTAGAAGAGAAAAAGAAGGAAGTTAAGAAACCGGTTCCTAAACCAGCGAAGGCGCCGCCTAAAGCGTGCGAAAATACTAATGCTACGCATCAGCAACACGTCTGTAAAAGTAAGTGTTTTTTCCAGTTTTTTCTTTATTTTTTCGGGTTTCACGACACATCGTCTCCGCGACAACTTAACCCTGAGATAACTGAGTGACATTCATAGTGTCGAGTTGTAGATTATTTTTATTTGAAATCTTTATTGCACACAAAATACGGTACAAGACGCAAACTTATTTATTTTTTCCTGGTTCCATAAAAAGCAACTGTAGTTCCTAAACTGCTCAATAGACGGCGTTATCCTTCTTTACTCGCGGTGTCGTGTTTTTTTCCGAACCGAAGTTAACGCGTGTGTAAATGGGCTATTTTCTGCCCAGTCCAGAATCGGGCAGGTTCGGGTGGCAAATATTGGAACTAATAACTCAGATTGACAATAGCGACTTCCTGTAAATATCATATTATTAGGCCTCGTGAACTGTACCTATCTATACTAATTAATCTACTCTATCGTATTGGGGTAACCTGTAATGTTAGAGCTAAGATTGTTATTAAATAAATAATATTATAAATGCGAAAGTAATTGTCTGTCTTGCTTTCACGCCTAAACCACTTAACCGATTTTGATGAAATTTGGCATAGAGACAGTTTGAGTCCCGGGAAAGGACATAAGATAGTTTTTATCCCGGTTTTTGAAACAGGGACGCGCGCGATAAAGTTTTTCTATGACAAAATTTCATATCGCTATAGTCTGGTCTGCGATCACGTAGAATTTTGTCCAATGACCCCTCGCATGTAATTATGTTGCTGTCGCGCTCGCACACTCACTGCGGGCGCGCGTCGCACAGTCGCGACAGCAATATAATGACGCGCGAGCGATAGGGATGGGTAGCTTGGGGTCATCGGACAAAATTCTACGTGCTGACAGGCCGGGCTTTTAGTAAATAAATAAAATGTAATGTGTGTGTCCTTAGTGAATCATGTGCCGGTGGCTGGCGGCGGTTGCGCAGGCGAAGGTGGAGCTGATCAGCCCTGCACCTGCTGCTACTGCACCGTGTTTGGCCACGCGGTGAGTGTGCACACACCCTTAGTTGGGGTACCGGTTTAGATTACGGTCGGACCATATCCCAACTAATATTATAAATGCGAAAGTAACTCTGTCTGTCTGTCTGTCTGTCTGTCTGTCTGTTACGCTTTCCCGCTTAAACCTCGCAACCGATTTTGATGAAATTTGGCATAGAGATAGTTTGAGTCCCGGGAAAGAACATAGGATAGTTTTTATCCCGGTTTTTGAAACAGGGACGCGCGCGATAAAGTTTTTCTGTGACAGACAAAATTCCACGGCGGAAAGCTAGTAGTTCATATTCCTTTGGAATAGAGCAACAACCACGAGCTGTCAGAAGAAACCGATGTTGCATGGTTCTGTCACATCGCATCTCGCATCTCTTTTTATCACACAGCATTGCTGCTAGTGACATCTCGCTCGCTCAGTCCTTTGTTGCTCTATTCCGCTAGGTATATTAAGTTTATGCTCCATGCTGACCAAACGGCTTTGTGTTCCTTAAGGCTGATTTTTCAATCGTCAGATATCTTTTAACTGAAGAATAAACTTGTCATTTTGACATATAGACCCAATACAATGAACTGTCCCACCAGTGACATTGACAGCGAGGCGCCACCGTCAATACCGGATCGCTGGTTCCTATTTTGCCATGTTGGAAACTATACAGTTGAACGATGGTGGCGCCCCCCTGTCAATGAGTTTGGTGGGACAGTTCAGTAGAGGTCATCTATGTTTCCCATACTAAACTGTCAATGTGCCAATTCTTCACTTAGAAGTTATCCGACGATTAAAAAAACAGCCATTAGTCAACTTTTACCACATCCACGGAAAGAGTGAGAGTCGCCTATTCTACCCTATCGAATTCACATAATTAAATAAATACTTAATAATAATTATAATAATTTCCACAACCACAGCCACCTCTAACAACCCCCGTGCCGCGTAACTTCAACGAGACGAGGGAGCGTCTGCGGTCCATCCTCAACAAGAAGAAACAGCAATGCAAGAGCAACGGAGAAGAAGTGCTGGAGAAGAAGCAAGCGGCTGTACAGACGCAAGAAGTGGCTGCTCCGCCGAAGGTGAAACCGCCGCAGGCCTCGCCTAAACCACCGGTAAGTTAGCAATAGATAGGTGGACGGACGACCTCATACTATCTTAGCTTTCCTAACTCGTCAATATGTAAGTATGAATGTGAAACTTTAGAAGCTGAAAACGCAAAACGCGGCGATTGAGTCGCTTTTCGGTAGCTCGACGCAGCGACAACAGTCGCTAAAATGCGCGATTCCATCATGAAGTAGCGAAACCGCGATGCAGCATAACATCAATACATCGCAAAATCGCCGGTCGCCGATTTTAAAAGTAGCATGTCTGCTATGGCCCTAATAGATATACAACAGGGCCGATGTGGCAGCAAGGTTCTAGAGTGGCGGCCACGTATCTGCAAGCGCAGCGTGGGACGTCCACACACAAGGTGGACAGATGAGCTCATAAAGGTATCAGGAAGGCGCTGGAAGCAAGCCGTTAATTTTCATATCATTGGGGGAGGCCTATGTTCAGCAGTGGATGTCCTGTGGCTGAAATGATGATGATGATACAATACGCAACGGAGAATAAGTCCTGGAGAAGAAACAGGCGGCTGTACAGACGCAAGAAGTAGCCGCGCCGCCGAAGGTGAAACCGCCACAAGCTTCGCCTAAACCGCCGGTGAGTTACTGAGAGTCATAGCAGACTTGTCTTAAGGTCCTATGTCCCTTAGATGGGGCAGAGGGGGTCCACAAGTCCTCCATCACGTTCGGTACCACACATTCTACAGCGCACACTTAAAAACGCCAGACGCGGCGATTGAGTCGCTTTTAGGAAGCTTGACGGAGCGACAACAGTCGCTAAAACGCGCGATTCCACAGTCGCAAAATTGCGATTCCCACCTCTCGTTCCTACTGCTGCAACTCCTGTGCAGCCAGGATCTACAGCTTGACCACCAATAACCCAACCAGTGAAGGTCAAGTTTTTCCCGCGGGAAAGTTAAACTGTCATTGGACCCGCAACGAAATTAATCAGAAGAACGTCATAGGAGTTCGAAGTTTGCCGGTGAGTTAGCCATAGATAGGACAACACAAGGTGGACCAACGACCTCATTAAGGTAGCAGGAAGGCGCTGGATGCAGGCCGCTGCCAACCGTGGAAATCATTGGGGGAGGCCTATGTTCAGCAGTGGACGTCCTGTGGCTGAAATGATGATAATGACACAAGGGGACAATTGTTTGTCACCTGTCATCCGCTTTGCACTGGAGGGAAGTCGAATCTTAACTTGGAACTCCTCCAATGTTCTTCTGATTAATTTCTTTGCGGATCTAATGACAGTTTAACTCTCCCTCGGGACAAACTTGACCTTCATTAGTTGGATTTTTATGGTGGTCAAGCACAGGATTTGCAGCGGTGGGAATAGTCATTTAGGGGATAAATGTACCGTACAACTCAAGATTCTACGGATCGCAGCAACGTTTCCATACTGCCCCAAACTGACCCTCACAGTGTTTCACGCAACATTCTACGTGACGGGACATGTCATGGACTGTACGGGCAGAAACACGGTATTTTTTAATCAACTATTTAATACTTTTAGTAATTGTTCATGTATTTTATTACCAAATTTCCATTCCAGGCTCTCCCAAAAACCCTCCCGCCAAGCCTAACCCCGTCTCAAGTGCAAGCAAATCGCCAGAAGCAGGCGACGCTAGAAGCCCAACAACGCCAGTTAGCGGATAAAATGTCCAAGATGGCCGTCAGCGAACGACCCAAAGTGGCCCAGAGAACGGTGCCGGTTCAAATGAATGCACCTCCTGGATTGAAGGCGGAAGGAAAGGTCAATCCGAACGCGATGGAACAAATTCGGTTACAGGTGAGTGCGGATTTTTTGCCTTATTTTAAGTGCAATATGGTTTTGACGACTCAAAGTGGCTCAAAGAACAGTGCCGGTTCAAATGAATACACCCCCTGGATTGAAGGCAGAAGGGAAGGTCAATCCGAACGCGATGGAACAAATTCGGTTACAGGTGAGTGCGATTATGTGCCTTATTGTATGTGCAATAAAGTTTTGAAGACTCAAAGTGGCCTAGAGAATGGTGCCGGTTTAAATGAATGCACCCCCTGGATTGAAAGCAGAAGGGAAGGTCAATCCGAACGCGATGGAACAAATTCGGTTACAGGTGAGTGCGATTATGTGCCTTATTTTAAGTGCAATATGGTTTTGATGACTCAAAGTGGCTCAAAGAACAGTGTCGGTTCAAATGAATGCACCCCCTGGATTGAAGGCGGAAGGAAAGGTCAATCCGATCGCGATGGAACAAATTCGGTTACAGGTGAGTGCGATTATGTAACTTAATTTTAAGTGCAATATGGTTTTAACGACACAAAGTGGCTCAAAGAACGGTGCCGGTTCAAATGAATGCCCCCCCTGCATTGAAGGCGGAAGGAAAGGTCAATCCGAACGCGATGGAACAAATTCGGTTACAGGTGAGTGCGATTATGTGCCTTATTGTATGTGCAATAAAGTTTTGAAGACCCAAAGTGGCTCAAAGATGGTGTAATTTCAAATGAATGCAGCACCAGGATTGAAGGCAAATGGGAAAGTTAACCCGAACGCAATGGAACAGATTCGGTAATTCCACCGCACCCATTTGGGGCGCGAAATAGGCCCGGTTTCCACCAACAGGAAACCAGGAAACTGAAGAATAAACTTGACATACTGAAACTTATTCTTCAGCTAAGGCCCAGAACAGACGGTGAAACGCAACTGCAACGAAACTGCAACTGCTAGTTACTTTTGAGTTGCATCTAAGTTTCTGCCATAGCGGCGTCCCTTGAGAGACCACACATGACGCGACCAGTTTGAAACTTTCAGTTTCAGTTTCATTCATCAGAATCATCAGAAAGTTGCAGTTGCGTTTCGCCGTCTGTTCTGGGCCTAAAAGTTATCTGACGATTAAAAAGTTATTTAAAATCGTCTCGTCACATACTTATTATTTTTTATTCCATTAATTTTTTTAATCATATTTGTTTCAGCAACTAAAACAACAACAACAAGCGCAGCTCCAACAACAAATGCAGCAGCAACAACAGCAGAAGAAGCCGGAGCCGATATACGACCTGCCGATACACAACAAGCCGACGCTCACGCCACAGCAACAACAACAAATTCGGCAGCAACAACAACAGGTAAAGGGATAGGCGACAGACACTTGTTCCACTGATGTAACAAGAGGCGCAGCTCCAACAACAACGGCAGCAACAACAACAGGTAAAGGGATAGGCGACAGACACTTGTTCCACTGATGTAACTACAGCAAGCGCAGCTCCAACAACAAATGCAGCAACAACAACAGGTAAAGGGATAGGCGACAGACACTTGTTCCACTGATACAACAACTGGGGCAGCTCCAACAACAAATGCAGCAACAACAACAGGTAAAGGGATAGGCGACAGACACTTGTTCCACTGATGTAACTACAGCAAGCGCAGCTCCAACAACAAATGCAGCAACAACAACAGGTAAAGGGATAGGCGACAGACACTTGTTCCACTGATACAACAACTGGGGCAGCTTCAACAACAAATGCAGCAACAACAACAGGTAAAGGATAGGCGACAGACACTTGTTCCACTGATGTAACAACAACAGGCGCAGCTTCAACAACAAATGCAGCAACAACAACAGCAGAAGAAGCCGGAGCCGATATACGACCTGCCGATACACAACAAGCCGACGCTCACGCCACAGCAACAACAACAAATTCGACAGCAACAACAACAGGTAAAGGGATAGGCGACAGACACTTGTTCCACTGATGATACAACAAAAGATTCGGCAGCAACAACAACAGGTAAAGGGATAGGCGACAGACACTAGTTCCACTGATGTAACAACAAAAGATTCGGCAGCAGTAGCAACAGGTATAGTTGTTGCAATTCACGAAGGCGAGTGAGCTTTACATGTGTGGTGGCTCGCTACTGTTCGTTTTTCAAAAGTTTTGACAGACGTTACACTATCGTTATATGCGTGTACACGTACACACACAAGGAAAACTCACTCGCCTTCGTGAGTTGCAAGAACTATAAAGGGATAGACGACAGACACTTGTTCCACTGATGTAACAACAAAATATTCGGCAGCAGTAGTAACAGGTAAAGGGATAGACATCAGACACATATTCGGATCACTTGTCACTATCCTAAACTATCGGAAGAATATCCGGTACAGTCATTAAAAATCTCCTAAAACTTAATAATTTATTTTTGCAAATAGGCTTTTAAAAAGCACTTTTACATGTCCCAGTATTAACCCTGCCACTGCTTCGGGACACTTTTGACTGTTCTCGCTAATAATTCACGTTTGTTCCAGTTCCAACAGCAACAACAACAGGCTCAACAACAACAACAAGCGCAACAACAGGCGCAACAACAAATCCAACAGCAGCAATTGCAGCAACAACAACAGAAGTTGCAGCAGCAGCAACTTCAGCAACAACAGCTGAAGCAGCAGCAGCAACAACAGCAGCTGAAGCAACAACAACAACAGCAGCAGCAACAACAACAAAGGCTGTGTCGGCCGCAACAACAGTGTGCTGTATCGCTATCTAGTCGGGATACGAGCGTGTTCTCGACTTCCTCCGGTTGTTCAGGGTAAGTGCAGTGTGATTAAAGATAAAGAATAGTCGGAACCATAAACAACAACGAACTAAAGTCGCTGACATAGCCCGACGGATTAGCAAGCTGAAGTGGCAGTGGGCAGGGCGCATAGTACGCAGAACTGACGGCCGATGGGGCAGCAAGCTTCGAACCGCGCCACAGTCGCTGTCAAATTCTATGGAATAATTTGACGGACTGACATGTTCCCTTATTTTTTGGGCCTTATTAGCTGGCAAGTGATGAGAATGTCGGGATGTCGTGGCAACTTTTAATTAAGGCATCACCTTAGATTATAATTTTATTTATAACCCATATTATGCCCAAAAGTATTTAAATCTCAGATTTTTGGCATATTTACAGTTTATTTTATAGGCATCGCAAGATAACTTGTACCATTTGGTCGTTTTCGTGCTTCTGGGCATATATGGGATAAGGAAACTGTGAATGTGTGGTGTACGTTTTGTTGGTTCTCCTTAAATAAATAAACGCCGGACTTCACTTATTTTTAGAATCTATGCA